TTCGAAAAGAACTTACAATGAAGTCCTGAATTGGAAACAATAATTGCTATCTTCCCTTTGTTCTTATTTTCTATAGATGTATACCCCAAAAGGAAAAAAAATGGGTACTTTTTTTATAGAATGTGACTTTGTTGTGCGCCCATCCGACTCAATACTATTTATCTTAGGAGCTATTGCTGGGGTTTTGTACTTGTTACTCATACAATAAATAGGTCTACGGGCCCTTGCAGTTGTAATTTTTTTTGACGTCTGGTGATAACGAATGCCGTTATTCCGAAATTGCATGACAGTCTTTTGTAGTCGCCAGTAGTCAGAACTCACGGAATTGTATCCACATAGGTAAAGAATAAGTAAGCGAAAGCGACACGTTGTAGCCGCTAAGTGCTCGGTTGGAGGCTGCCGCACCGGCATCGTTGCAGTGGCAGCAGGCGAAAGTTGAGTTTGCGAACTATATTTAAAGTTAATGGCATTTTAGTAAACAAGTTTGTCTCGGAGGACTTATTGACATTTTAAATTGACTCGACAATATTCATTGCCATCCTACATAATTATGTACATTAGATATTTAGATGAATCTACTGGTTATCTGTCCTGCAGTTGTAAGATCTAATGAGCGATATTGGTTACTAACTATGTAGGTCATTATGGTGCTGAAGGGGGCTTGTTTGTGACGAAGCTTTAAATAGTTTAAAATTCATTTGTTGTATGCTCATTTCCTTAAAATACTTTTACTTATAGGTACTAATATGTGTTAAATATTTCTAAATGCATTTATGTTGTGTGTCTAAATTGCCTGCTTACTCAATGTCATAAAAGTAAAAAGTTAGATCTCCCCTTGAAAAAATTTAAATGTAAATAAATCCACCAAAACGAACCGAATTTTGTCCCTTGGGGAACATTTTATGAATCTTTTATAAGACACATAATTCTTAGGTAACCCTTAAAGGTTGAGGCAATCAGTTAGTCACCGTTTTCAGATATTAATGATAATGTGTGTCAGGTAGCGCGAGGGATTTGTGTCGAAACACAGTGGAGTTAATTTAATTTGAAGTAATCGGTAGGAGGCGGGCGCGCGAGGCCGCCGTGCCGCCCGCATGGCAACCGCTACATGCGCTAATTGTTTCCACGGCACGCCAGCCGATACTTCCCAAGTAACACAGACATGCTGAATAGTGTTTGAGTAAAAGTAATTCGAAAATATTTACAGATATAAGCTCCATAACGTGTGAGGAAAGGCTATTGAAATAGCCAAATTCTGAATAATTTTCTCTTTCTGCCTTAATAGCCATTTATGCTTGATAAAAGTTGTATTAAGGTCGACTATTATTTTTAAAGCTTAGTAATAACTTCTGTACAGCATAAAACGCAGATATTATTAAGCCTAAAGCATTACAGGTGACTTTAATTTGAAAAATATTGCCCGGGTCAGCATTTATCTGTATAATAGTATAAGTAGCTGAATAAACGTAATTATCTAATACTAATAAACAAACTTTTCTCAACTTATTGCTTATAAAACCACCATACTCTGTAAAACTGTGTCCACGGCAGCTGTCTTCTGAATAAAGTGTAAGTAATTTCTAATGAAAGGAATATTAGCATTGTATTTTGAATAACAGCTTTTATTTTGCCGTCAAGTCATATAAGGTTCCACATTTTATCAATTATTCAACTACTGTATAAAAGTATTTTCTGTGTTCTAAATAGAGCTTATTTTGGTATAAGGGAAATAAAGTCATAGTTTATAGCTAACGTAACACAGATGGAAGTCGAATGATGTATTTTAATTCCGCAATTACTTGTAAAAATACCATTTTTAAAGAACTTATAACGAGTTTTTCTGGGTAGTAAGTGAATTAAAGACGTTTAAAACATTGTTTTACTACGAGAGCGAGCTTAGGTAGTCGTAATTTGAGTCAAGTCCGAACAGATCCAGTTAAAGGGAGTTCCGTACCTTCAAATAATGCCGTTATAGATTTTGTACAGAATTCAGAAGATAATATTTCCGTCAATAAATCAAAATTTCTTTTATTTCTCAAATTTAAAAAAATCCGTTCAATCTTATAATTACTAAATTAAAAAAACAGTAAGCCTTCTTGGGGATGATTTCTCAAACTCGCATATATTTAAAATTTTAGTGAGCTGGAGGCAAACTCCAGAGACGACGTATTGTACACACTATGGTCTACACATAACGTCATATTAGATAACTCTTCTTCTGCATCTTCAAAGGTTGTAAAATTATTTCTTTTTAAGGTACAATTCATTGAAATCCAATCCGGACTAGGTTGAGCATTTTCGTTTTTACAAAGGTAATCGGCATTAAATTTGGGCCATTTCAGTTTCGCTGTGCTTTCCCAGTGGGAAGGTAGAGTGCATAGTTCTGCTCTGCCCCTTCGTTGAGTAGAAACAATCTTAAACGGCATTCTCCTGCAAGACATTTCGCTTTATGTTAGGAACTTAGAGTAAGTACTATTTTATGATAGCTAAAAACAATAAAACTATAAAAACCTTTTAGAAACTATAATTTCGCGAGTTTAACACACGCCACGCACTAACTTGCAGCCGCGGTGCGCTCCCTATCTGTGAATAATAGTAACTGATCAATACGTGTAAATTACTCGATGTTGTTTGTTCTAGCTAAAATAATTCACTATGAATCTACATACTACTAAACTACCCCCATCGCATAGATGGTTGTAATTTTTTGTAATACGAAATTAACCCAACCTACCTAAAACTAGAAAAACAAAAACATAACATCGTTATAACTGCGTTTATGTACATGCTAAAAAAAATAAGAATAAAACATTATGCATAGTATTTGTGTTGTATCATTTGCCACTGAATAGGTAGAAAAAAAACCCTTATTTGTATTGAAAAATATAAGTGGTCCTTTTTTGTAATTACTCATATAAATATATCAATTTTCCTGAGAAATTTGGTCCGTCGTATTATGTTTTGAACCCTGATTCGCTGTATAATTAATCACATTTAGTAACGTTATCAAGTGTTATTCAGATACTTGTAGTGCCTAATCACTATTTCTCAAATTAAATCAGAGTTGTACTGTAAAATAGCTGCGTGGAGAACTTTTATAATGAATCGCCATTTTATTTTATTTTTAAGTAAATTATTGAAACATTACGTATATAAAATGCCCCATTTTAGTAACTAATTACAGTTAAAAATATATTTTTTGAGTAACTTAATGACTTTTGAAAGATTAGCATAACTGTTTCATCCTAAGTATTTTTGTCACTTCTAAAGTCTTTATTTATATGTCATATACTATTACTAAAAATGAATATGAAAGCGGCGCGTGAAAAATGTTGAGATAATTTATATGCTATTCACGATAAAATAACTTGCGCAGTAATTTTTTACGTGTATCATGGTTATAATACATAATAACATTTAGGTACTTACCGATTCGCATAGTTCCACTACCATCTTTATTTTACTAAAAACTATGAAATTTCAAAACAAAGCACACACTGCACGATTAAACACAACTTTTTTTCTAATTCACAACTTAACTTTTAATTATGTTTGAAAAGTATTACGCAAATGAACATAATCCTGAATAATTTTTGAATAACAAAATCCATATGCATTTGTCTGAATAAATACGAAATAATAGCTATATTAAACTGATGACAGCTTTTTTTCAGACGTTATTAAGTTAAGCCTGTTATTATTAAGCAATTACCCAAACTTTACAGCTATATTATACAGACTTATGCATTTAAAAATGTGCCCAAATTGCTTGAGTAACAGTTGAATAGACGTTCACTCAGACAATATCCAGACAATAGTTACAGCTTATAGTTTCGCGGATCACTAGTACTCAAACGTTATTCAGCATGACTGTGTTACTTGGGTTTACCGTACTCTATGCGTTTTTGCGTTGCAGTTTTTTTTCGTCTACAGTTATTGATGTTTGTGGCTGTGAGCTCTGTCTCTGTCGCGCTCCTCGCCTCGTGTCACAGGGCATGCCTGCATTGTTCATGTTCGTCTTTTCGCGACTTTCTATGCACTGTATGTCACTGTAAATTAATATTATGATCTCAGGCGGCAGGTTTTTTGATTCTGTCTTATCGTTTGATATTTGTTTTTCCATGTTTTGGTTAACTAGAATTTATTTATCTACATATTTGTACAGTGATTTTTATTCTTTACTCGTTAAAGCCATAAATCTTTCGGGATCGTTCTGCACATAGAAAGAGGGAAATTGATTAAAGTTTGCAAATTGCTTGTTGTATTGAAACATACATTTGAAACTAATAATATCACAAATGTAAAGTGAAGATGTATCGATGCACAGATTGTACCGGTATTTTGATACCCTAGGAACTCTGTACGCGTAGTACCTATTCTTAATTGTAAAGCCGCAGATGTAGTAGACCGCAGTAGCTTGTGTTAGCTTGCTGTCAAATAGCAGTCGCTGGGTATAAATGTCTGTAGTAAGAAGTGTACTGCCGGTAAATAGCCAGTAAACAGAATTGTCTAAGTATACGCGAGGAGGGGGAGACCTTTACTACTTTTCGCAAATAACTAGGTTTATATTATGTGTATCATGAAATAGATGTAGTTGTATAAATTAGAATTAATGTCTTTGTAGTAAGCTAGTACGTCACTCGTAAGACTTAAGAATAATGTTGATATTAACTTTAGCAGTAATGAGTAAGTAGCATAGAAATAATTCGGCTCCATAGCACCACTATGCTCTAAACGCTCGTGTCTCGGTAGTCAGGACATTGCATGATGTGATCACGCGAGCTCATGCTTCCATTGCTGCCGCGGCTTACCTTTCGGGGAAGCTTTACAGGCGTGTCACGCAATGTATACGCGGGATCATCGGGGCGGTTATTGGCTTTGCTTGCATAGCGGCATCGCGTTGGTCGTCTCACCGAGCAGCCAGAAGCGTAAGTGGTGTGTATGGGGTCCGACTGTGGATCGTTTTAATGGACATGGATGTTTTCTCTATTTGTTGTAAGGTGGGACGCAGGGCCCGGGCCGCCGACCCCACCTGCCCTACCTCCACTTACGCCTCTGGATGTATCGTACGTCAATATCTCTCATATCTATATCTGTGGCCATGCATCGTGTTAATAAACAGTCCCAGCGGACCTGCGCCTGTGCACTGTGAATGCTGTACGCGACGGGACGTGCCGAGTGTGCGTCCGACTGTTTGTTAGCACCTGTGTGTCGCTGTAACTGTGTGCTCTGTAATATTCCCGGACATCGACAACTCCTAATCTCTGCTTTCCTCGTAGCTCGTCGACATGTGCTTTGGCTTTGGAAATCGGCTCAGAATAGCCTGCCGGCTCATTTTTACAATAGACAATCGTGTCTGTTTCTGCGTCGCACGTCGCACCTTAATGGAGCGGAGCACACGTCGACTATATTATTTCTGTACCCTCCTGCACTTACTGCCACTCTGGTGTTACGCGATCAGTTAAGTCATGTTCGCACATTTATGTTGTACTTGTACCTGTTCCATTTTGTTTTTCTAACTTAGTATGGTGTACTCAAACCAATAGTTGGATGATAACACTTCCACTTAACAATAGTTTGCTCTTCTCTGGGATCTACCGAAATGTCCGTTGCATGAATATTATTTGTTTAAATGCTAAAAGATTATTCATACGCGCATGTTGCGGGGAGAATGGATTCATAATGGCTAGTATGCTTGTTATTGTTCATTACATAGTATATTATGTCAGCATTATTCACTACTGCTACTTCCTGCTAGATATTTGCATGTTGGTTGACTAATACGTAGTTTATGAAATAGGTTCGGTTGATATCGTTATACGTGTTAATGACACAGAGAGACATTATGTGTAAAATTGTCAAATGCTCTGTAATCTTGAGTCGAAAACAACACTGATTCAATCGTATCGGAATTACATACAGTTACTTAGTATCGGGAGGCAGACTAATTGATAATACGTATTATGTGAATTGACTCAGCAAGGCTCTACTAGTTTCAAATCGCGGCGCAACTCAGTGACGCCATGTCGCCGCGATGGCACGCTGGTCTTTAATAAGAATCTCGTTGTAGCTTGTAATTTCTAAGTACTTAAATTCACGTGATTTATAATAAAATACATGATTCTTCTCAGAATCACCTTATGCTCCGAATTTGCGTATGAACAGTCGTATCTGTGCAGACGTTAGTGGGTATTGCAGCGGTAGCCACCTGCAACCGGGGGCAACGGTCCGGTAACGATTGTGGCTAATTTTGTCCATACACAAGCAGGACGCATCGTGGGCCGCCGCTATTTCTCCCTATTCCCTTCATTGTTCCTGCAAAGAGCGACGCGTGCTTTCTTGCTCGATTCCTCAGAATTACAATTTGGTTTGGCCTATATTAGTAAATAGAAAGAGACAATTGCGTATATCGCAACGGAAATCTCACCCAGTTTCATTGCATTTGTTCGTGTTGCGCATAAGGTGTACATCGATATCAGAGTCAACTAAGACCACAAATGCTAAGATATTGAACGGTAGACTGACTCTTACTTACAGTAAAGCTTTACAAAACTTAGCCTATCATTAACTCATATAGTATTGATGGGCCAGGCTACATAATGTCTGAGGACGGCGCATTAATAATGCAGTGCACGTAGCCAGAAATATCGCTAGCAACATGGCAATCCTTTTCAATATATTAGTAAATACAAATATAATATATTTACGTTACCAATACCGATATTACACACAAAATATAACACAACTGTCCTCAAGTTATCAGAGGTCAAGATTGCGCATTTACGAGACGTGCTGGATGTGTGGACCAGATTGAACGCTTCTTCCAACATTTTTAGCCCTTGGATCGAAATGTTGTTTATGTTAAATGTTAAACAGTATTTGCGCAGAACATCGCGCGTCTATTCTGTATGATATAAATAAAACTATTATAAGTATTGCGTTCTATAAAATACAGTCTTCAACGTACTCAAACAAAGCAAATTATCTTGTTTGTGAATAAGTCGTAATAGAATTATGTCGAAATTATATCAATCGTTTGATGTTTGTGTTCGTGTCAGAACTTCTTTTCTCTGTGTGAGTAAAGAGCCCGTCTTAATGCTGTTTGCTTTGAATGTAATCCTCTGTTGATTCCTAGAACGTTATACACAGACTTGTTTACTTTGCTTTATAATTCCTAGGCAATTAACATTTGGGTCGTTGTACCGTTTTCCATAGCGCTAACTAACCGTTACTGACGTCAAGTAACGCTACATTTATATTTCATTAGATATCCTTTCGTATATTATTGCTAGTTTCGTGCATAGTTCTGGTAACCAATGTTGTTTATTCTGACAACTAGTCACAAGTCATAACGTAAATGTGTGGTTGCCGAGTTATTTCTCTTCACTCGTGTAGGAGATCCGTCAGGCAGCTAGTCAGACGGCTACGTTTCGCAGCGAGTGTATCGTCCCACACGGCCCACTTGCCCACACCACATCCACTAGTTTTATCTACGCGTTGTTGTGTAAACACGTGGCGTAGCGGTTCATTAACCTGTGTTGTTGTTCTCGTGCGTATGCGCAGCTTTTCTGTGTGTGTTGACGCGCCTGCTTGAAATCTGCGGGTCGATTGGCCAAGTGATAGCTATAAAATGGAAAGTCAGAATAGCACCAAAAACTTTTGTGATATTTTGAGAGTTGAGGTGATTGATAGGTGATCGCACTGTTCACTATTTGGGTCGAAATGGAATATTAGAGTTACTAAACCGCCCCTTCAACTTCCAATAATCTTGATAGTCTTGAAATACCGGTAAAGTGTTGATCGTGCAGAACTGCTGTGCCTAAAATAATTGTCGTTGACGCCCATTAGCATGAAAGCAAGTCGTGATGCGAGGTGGCGGCACTGACATCGCGTCCGTTGGCTCCAACCGATGCTATGTCACTTGATCGGGCGTGTTTGATTCCAAACGTTGGCGCACTTGCGCCAACTTTGTGTAGTAGTATCGTATAAAGTGACCTTGTGATAGACTAGTTGTTTTTCACAACGTCTACCTCAGTTAGTCAATTATGAACCTTAGGTACTACAGGTTTAAATTGTATTTTCGTGAGCTATGTGCAAATGTTTTGGCCTGCATTGTTGTCGGTGTGAGCACGGCACCAGTAGTTTGTGCGTCCCATTATTTATGGTACTGAATTTAAACCATGTTTACTTTTGTTGGAGGTCGTTAGCATTCCCCATTGGCCTTGTTTTAAAATTCGTCCAACATTCGTGTTTAGTTAACGAATCGTATTCGATGTTCGTTGTTTTGAAATACACCTGTTAAGCTTTATCATATTATGGGCTGTGGCCGTTTATTTTGAAAACATCGACAAGTCACAATTTGCAAGTGATGTTTCATGTACTAAACATAAACTGTTCAATACGAGAGTTGCCAGGTGTACAAAAATAACTTATGCTGGTCATCGCAAGTACACTTGTTGTTGCTATGATATTGTCTTAACAATCACACTTTACGTTAGAAATGTTTGTCTCGTTACAATACAGTACCCGGCCCCTAGAGCAGCTGGTGCACCGATCTTGTAGTGCTAGTATTACTGTGAATGCATGCCTTCATTACCGTCTTACTAACTTGAACCAAGATGCCCAATTTCGAGTTAGAGTGTTTTTTGATAAATTCTGAGTACCTACTTCCAAACAAAAACAATTATATTAAATGTAATCTTTCTTGCCTGCTACTTGAAAATCTTTAATTTGGTATTTACATTCTAGAAGCAGCTTATTGTTGAAGTAGTGCATTGCTCGTAAGATCTTGCTGGTTAGGAACTTGTATTGCGTATTGCTTATGATGCAACGTGAGTAGTATAGATGCTGTTGGTAATGCTACATAGACAAGTAGAAGTTAGTGAGACGGGGAGTTGGTGATGAGAAGTTGGGACAGAGTGGGTCGAACATGTTGATGTCGTGTGTAGGTCATGGCAAGACACACAAGGACGCGGCCAGCGTGCGCGCGACGCACCCCATCCCCGCGGCGTGCGGCCTCTACTACTTCGAGGTGCGCATCGTGTCCAAGGGCCGCGACGGGTACATGGGCATCGGGCTCTCCGCACATGGAGTCAACATGAACAGATTACCAGGTAAGTTTAAATGAAACGTTTGCCAATAAGGGCACTAAAAAGAATAAAGGAGCTAAACTTATTATGTTTGTCATACATATCATTTAGAAGAGCGAAGGTGCTGGAACGTCATTGTGTGGTACGGCATTGCAGGTTGGGACAAGCATTCGTATGGGTATCACGGCGACGACGGGCACTCGTTCTGCTCGTCGGGCACCGGGCAGCCGTACGGGCCCACCTTCACCACCGGCGACGTCATAGGCTGCGGCGTCAACCTCGTCGACAACACCTGCTTCTACACCAAGAACGGACACCATCTCGGCATCGCCTTCAGAGGTCTACCTGTACGTACTCTCGGAGCTAGAGAATGAATATAAACACCTAGTTATTAGCCAAGTGACTAATAGCATGTATCTTGGTATGTGCAGCCGAACCTGTACCCGACGGTGGGGCTGCAGACGCCGGGCGAGGTGGTGGACGCCAACTTCGGCCAGCAACCCTTCGTGTTCGACATCGAGGACATGCTCCGCGAGCTGCGCGCGCGCACTCGCTGCGCCATCGACGAGTTCCCGCTGCCCGACGACCAGGGCCAGTGGCAGCAACTACTGCACAAGTACATACACGCCTCACTCACACACATTTATACACGCGCCACTTATCGCCCGCAGCACCAGTGGAAAAGTAGCCTATTTGTTCCTGTGCCTGAAAAATAACAAACACCCATTAGTAGTAAACTTTCGCGTTTCTTATATTAGTATGATAATCGCACTTTCACTTGTAGATCATAATATTTAATATGCGATCTTTTTATAGATCATTTTCGAGGAATAAATGTTTACAACACACAATCATGTAAAAATCCATTAAAGCTGTCGGTTTCGACATTTCGAAATTACTTAGCTATTTAATTTTAGAGTTTTAAAGTACCCAATCAGTGAATGATAAACGAAAGCACCGACTGGAGTTACCTTGTATCGATGACTCTACTACTGAGAAATTCGAAGAACTGAAAACTGGCGATATTGGTTTATTTGATCGAAGTATTCAACTTGAAACTCCCGTTTGGTAACGATGTGTGTGTTGTGTAGGATGGTCTCGTCGTACCTGGTGCACCACGGCTACTGCAGCACTGCTCAGGCATTCTCCCGCGCCACCGGACAGCCTATCGACGAGGACATCGCTTCCATCAAGAACAGACAGAGTGAGTCTCTATTCTACACGACAACGTATTATTTATTTAAAAACTAATTATTTAGTTTGCTGGTTACATAAAAGACCAGCCTCGCGTTTCTTCTCTCGTTCTCTATCAATTTGATGGCAGTATATATATATATATCCAATATACTCGCGACTCGGTCTGCTTGCTTACAATAATCAAATGTCTTCTAAAATGCGCCGTACACTCGGGGCTGTTTCTAGTCGGGGCGTTCTCGCCGCCGATTCAATATCAATTTTGATTTATCTGTTACGTAATTTACGTATTAGTATTAGTAAGCTATGAAACGTAACATTGTGGGATAATATTATGCCAAGTGATTGTTATGTCTCATTGGTTACTTTATAAAACAGGGTCCAAGCGAGTGGACGGATCACCTGATGGTAAGCGCCATCCGAGGACACTCGCATCATTGACGCGAGGGTAACCATTTATTTCCCTTTGTGTATTTAAAAGAGTATTTGTGTCGTTGCAGGAGTGTCGAAGTTGGTGGTGTCGGGGCGTATCGGCGAAGCCATAGAGGTAACACGCGCCTTGTACCCGGGTCTGCTAGACCGGGATCAAGACTTGCTCTTCCTGCTCAAGTACCGTCAGTTCGTCGAGATGGTAAATGGATCTGACGCAGAGGTACGTAGGTTTGTTTAATACGTAACATTTCATTATGGAAGAGTACCCGTTGTTACATGTCTGTATGTACTTGCAGGGCGCGCGCAGTAACGGCGTGGCCACGTCCGTCATCTCGCACACCTCGCGCACCAACGGACACGCACACTCCGGTAACTATATCATACTTTCTATAAAGTAAAATAGAGTACAGTCGATCTCAACGTTTTCCCTGTAGGAAAAAGGACAATACGATTACCTGTTGCAGTAATCTGGAATAAAATTTTGTTACTTTACCATTTGTGGAAACACATTTGTTCAAAAAGAATAATGGCTTTAATAGTCGACCAATTTCGCTTATTTCTTTGCATGTTGTCAAGCAAGGATGATAGCAAATATGTAGTACAAAAAGATATGTATGTTTCCTATACTGTACCTTCTGCATAACTTTATCTTAAATGCCAAGTATGGAGGTTAGAGTTTTATTGTTGTTAAAAGTTATGTTGTATATTTTTTGTGTAGTAAAGATAATGTTGATGATTGCAGATGCAGAGGGCGGCGCCCCCCCGGGCGCGGAGGAGGACGCGGGCGCGGAGTCGGGCGCGGGCGACGCGGCCGGCGCCACCGACGTGGACATGGCGCCCGCCACCAACGGACAGACAGGTACACCACGTCTACTGCCCTGGCCCGGTGGACCTCTGCCCGCGCCTACCCACGGACTATCCTACGATATATACCAGATATATCACGCAATCTAATGTATTTAACGTTGCAGCCGTAAATGTAGTCCGTCTTGCCAGTTAACTCAATTTTAAAGTTGATACCAACAATTCAATATTTGTAGTTGGGTTTCGATTCCCAATAAAATTATTTACGATATGACCACCGGAATACATTTTATATTTGTCTCTATTTTATTTACATTTTAATATAAAAAGTATAATTAAATACGCTAACATAACCTATACATAAGTATAAAGTATTCTACAGACTATACAAAAATATATTAGTATATAATAAATAATGTATGGATAAAATATGTAAGGAATATTATGTACGTACCTAATATTACAAGTATATGTTTTTATTTGGATTATATATTATTTGCACAGCATACTCATTCATTACATTATGTTAGTAGCGCCATATCTCATTATATTGCTATTTTACTTAGTTTGCATGGCTTTGTACATAGTGGGCCAGTTAACAGTACGCATTAGTAGGCTGCCCCTCCCTCTAGTGCTCGCGTATAATGTAGCTAATGGTAACATTCGACACAAATATGGCGCCTGTGTTATGTCTACACGCATACACGCAGTGCAGATGTTGTCACTTCTCGCGTCCTGCGAGGCGAGCAGTCCTGTCAATATAACACGGTGTGGTGCGTCTGTATGTCTTGTAATGATGTAAGGAGAGATTGATGCATTGGTCGATATTTCGATGCTACGAATAGTGCGCTGTGGCCGGCCGGGAACTGTTACTTAATTATTACCTGACAGTCTCATGGCTTAAACTGACATTGTCGATTGCACCCTTGGTTTATCTAATATTTAGTTAGGATTTTCTTGTGATCCTACACAAATGACAGAGTTTATAACTACTGTGTTCATTAATGTGTGTAACTAGTGCGTCAGACACGGGAAGTTGGCATGTGTTTGGTCGAATTATCGGCTATTTACTAACAGGTCATGTAACATCGCATCTAGAATCGACATCACTCACCTGCACTTACAGCATATTTTGGTTTTATTTCTTTCCGTTAAGTTGGATTTAGTTCGCGTGCGTCGTCGCTTACGCATGTCCGGTAAGGAAGGAGGCGCAAGTTACGAGTGTTGGGTAGTAGTACGGTAGTGACTCGCGCCTCCGCGGCGGTGACGCGGCGTGACGCGGCGTGACGCGGCGGTGACGCGGCGTGACGCGGCGTGACGCGGCGTGACGCGTGTGCTTGTAGGTGCGCGGGCGCTGCCGCTGGTCAAGGGCATGCCGGGCGTGACGGCCAGCCTCGCCGCGCTGTTGCCGCCGCACTCGGGTGGGTACCTCACTCCTCACTGCGCTACTCTCTGTGCTCATCTCTCTCGTGCTCTGGTTCCTCCGACCCGATACTCACGAACTGAACGTCAGTATCGTGCGCAACTCCAGATCTTACATTGACGTAATCGACTAAAACTTGGGAAGGTACGATGAAGGCCAACGTTACGGATGAGTAGACAACGAAACGGAAGGATGCGTGAGGGAGCCAGAGCAGTGGTCGGTGGCATCGCTTCGAGTGTCCCCGCCCCACCGGCTGCAGTGCTTGTCCCCGCCGAGCCCCCTAATGTGGCCCTGTCTTGTGTAGCTGTGCTTGTACTAACTCACCGGATGTGCAACTCCGCACTCGACAGTCTACTTACACTGAACCCTCTCCTACATGATATTCTGCCCTCACTGGGACTGTACACCCTGACTGAAGTAGCGAGTTGAGATGTCGCAGCGTCAGTGGCGGTGCACAGAGTCCGTTGTCCCTAGCGCTAGTAGCCCAGTAGTGGAGTAGTGTCCTGTACGTGTCGCTGCCGGAGGTAAGTGACCGACAGCTCATTTTGTCGCACTCTCAACTTAATTTACAAAACGAGTTGCGGCGTTGGCTTTGCGGTCATTCATTGCAACAATCAGTAATATAGCAACTTGTTTAATGAACAGTAATTCGACAGGTTCGGTAAGTTGTTAGTATTCACGATGACGTGTATTACTGAGCAAGGGAGTTTGTAAATTAAGTTGTAGTCATGGTTGGTGTGTCGCAGTGGTTAGTGTATGTTGCATGTGACTGCGAGGTGGTGCCCGCATGACGTCTGTGGACTAACGCTTGTTATGTATACTCGCCCTATTATATATTTACTATATTATACATATTATCATATTACACTAAACGCATGCGCGGTCCGACGTGCCGCCCGATATGACAGTCTATGTCACGACACAGTTTTCTCCACGGCACTGAGTTATGAGTTTCTCTCGCTCCTTGATTATTTGATCAGATTTTATAGTTTAAGTTGAATACACTAATGTACAATTACAAGTGACGGCGACAAATTGCTTAACAATGGCATATAGAGGTGTAGGAGTGTAAATATCGAGTGAGCGTAGAGTATGGCGGTCGCTGACGCAGTGAGTGTATGCGCAGAGTCGGAGTGCGGGACGCGCGCCTCCGTGGAGCGGATGCTGGCGTTCGGCCGCGAGCTCTACGCCATGAGCCAGAAGCTGCAGCAGGACCAGTACGTCAAGTCCATGCTCGAGGTAACTTACCACTTATTACATCTTACTTCAACTGGGGTACCCGGTGCAAGATAATTTACACGTCGCAAAAAAATATAAATTAGATGTTGCTTATTTTTCGCCATTCTCCGTTTTTAATCACATACATACACTGACAGACTTGTACAGATTTTAAATAATTTAAATTTTAACACATTTGCCCAGTTTATATTAGTTAATTACTAATTACGGTTTACTATCATTTAAGTATTAGCGCGTACTGCTCAACTCTCAATTTGATATTTTTTTTGTTATATTGCCATAGCTATAACAGCGTGTTTGGATATGTTCTAGGATGCATTCAGCCTGTTAGCGTACAGCAACCCATGGGACAGCCCCGTGGGCTGGCAACTTGAACCTGTGCGCAGGGAAGCAGTCTGCGAGGCACTCAACTCTGCCATACTCGGTGAGTACCAGCAATAACAGTTCTAAACTCCTGTGCACTGAGAATGGTTGTTTAAGTTAGCGTTGGTACTCTGCAAAACTGTAAACGCCCCCATTATACGGCGTGTCGCCATTATAGAATAGTATCCCCTGTAATCTTTGCAGGAATTTCGGTAGTTAGTCGACCGTGCCAGATAAACATATAACAAATACCTAGTATCTTGTTGAATGTACCCACCATACAGCTGATGTAGGTAGATATTAAAGAAATCTTAACTAATTACATTCAGTTTCGGCAGATTAAGGGTTTACTGTTGCAAATCACAACAAACACAGTGGAAAGGTTTTGAAGTTTATTCTATGAAGAGGAAATAAATAGATAATTAATACATATGTAGGACATTTAAGTTCATATTTCAAGAAATAAATCATTCTATCGTTGTTGATACCACATTACAAATAGTCATATGCTTAATTTTAAAACACTAACTAACCCAACTATTTTTTTTAACCTTTATTCTATAAAATGGTCTTTTTTCCAAACAGAAGATTTCAGCCCTATTATTGTATACAAAATTCAGTACTTACTTATCTACATACTTAAGCTAAACCATTCATAGGTTTAGCTAGCCCTTAAGTTTGAACATAAAATAATTAGAAACTATGTTGTTATGATGTTTGTTTGTTAGTTCGCACACTGTCCGAAAATGTAAAATGTTGTTAGAAACAAGTAGACATCTAAACCTTGTAATGAATTGATTGCTACTTAAGTAAATAATGTTATTATTATGTTTTGCGTAATTGAAATATTGACGCTAATGGCATAGGTAACACTGGACAGCAAATAAACCTTGTCACCCGCTATCTAGGCACTCTAATTCTATTTCCTCAAAAACTAAAACACCTACAATCATCAAAGTTGTACGGTTGTACCTACAGACAGTGCGTTTCATGGTGATTAAAATGAAAAGGAAACTCATTGGGTTAAATCAATATTTACCTCAGTTTTGAGCGAAATTGAATTCACTGTAACAATTGCTAAAGCATCAACTACGAATACGCAAAAATCTCAAAACAGGCATGTTGTCGGTGTTGCTCCAATTGAAATACCTATACCCACGCTATATTTTCGTGTACTATTTATTAGATATTTTGTGACAAAAATAAGCCGCTTATGGTCTTAATTACGGAACCGCGTTCGTTGCGCGTTCTGCATCGTGCAGTCCATCACCCATTGCTTATGTGTTTGTTTTTGTATGAAATAATAGGACCTTCTTTCGCGTCATGCGGCTTATATGTTTATCTCTGGTCTCTCAAATTTCAGGGTATGTTGCCAAGCCATGCCATGTTTCTGACCATGTGTTGGGGTGTGTGGTTCCAGAGGCACAAGGCATGCGGTGGATCTCCCCCGTGGAGGCCTGCGTGTCTCAATCGCGTGATCTGCTCCGCCGAATGGCACGGGGCGGACTCGGCGCTTGTGCCTTCGCCGACCTCACTGCGCTGCTGCGCCGCTGACGCGGGGCGGACACGGCGCTTGCGCCTTCGCCGACTTCGCCGCGCTGCTGCGGCGCTGATGCGGGGCGGACCCGGCGACTGCGCCTTCGCCGCCCCCGCCGCGCTGCCGCGGCGCTGACGCGGAGCGGCCCCGGCGCCTGCGCGTTCGCCGACCTCGCCGCGCTGCTGCGGCGCTGACTGCCCCGCGCCGCCTGTACCGGTGCCGGCGCTACTCCGCCGACTGACTGACATACGCATGGCCCCGCGTACCGATGCACGTCGACTGCCTTTGTGATGATTCATTTGGTTATGAGTATTTTCACGAGGCGCGTGTGATACGTTCGGACGCCGAATGTTTGTGTAATATAGACATGTTCGACGCTTAGCAGACGGTTGCTTAAGCTTTACTTTGGGTGATAGGATACACCGGCCGAGGCCTCCCTCGGAACATTTTTATATAAATGAAGTGAGAAATATAAACATGTAATAATATATATTGTGTGCTCCGCTATGACCTCGACGATAATGGACGTTGTGTGAAACGAGTTGAAATTGGAATGTAGCTGTAATGATGTGTCAGAAATGCGCTGTATATTGTCTGTAGCGTATATGATAGATTATACCGTATTTTAGAAATTAAACAAAATAATTGTAACGATCGCGGCGAGGCACTGTTGTCGTAGGTTATTTTTTTATAATATTTTATTTTAATATATATTTTGTCGTACGTCGAACACATGAGCTCTCTAGTGCCACCTCCGAAACGACACTAGAGATCTCGATAAGTTTGCGATCTACAAAAGTCTGTTATTGTCAACTAATATTTTGATATAGATTTTTGTTTATAACTCATCGAATATCGTTTCGATGAGGGCTGTACAGATAATTATAGTAGCAATTAATTTTTAGTCAGCAATCGACTAACAATTAGTGTTTTTGAAAGACTCGACTGTACCGCAACAGTGTCTCCGCTTTACTTTATTATAGATATCTAACGTGATGAGAGTGTAGAGATACTAAGATTACAAATTTCATTTGTTGCTATTGCATTTAGGTCACCAGACTCGTAAGTCGGGATGTTGGAGACCGGGAGTCCACAGCGTCCATGTAAGACGCAGGACTAAATGCAATATCGCAATACCGGGCGGACACGGCGCGGCGGAGCGACCTCGCTACACGGCCGGGGGCAGCCGGCACCAGCAGACGGAATACTCAGCCTGTTTGTTGTAAATTATCAAGTCATTATGTTGCCAGCAGTCTTATGAACGTATGCTACGTAAAGTTCCTGAATTTAAACTATTTAGCTACATTGAATTGTAAGTCTGATTTTATTAGGTTACAGTTAGTTTGTATGCGTGCACTTGTGAAGTTTGTGGTAGCCGAGGTATGGTGTATCTTTGGAGGAAAAGTATACAAGTAACGAGTATAGATTGCAGTGCCGCGGCCAGTAGGTCCCCGAGCGTTGGGACACAGTGCGCTGGTCGTAGTTCGCTCCTCGCCCGTCGCCGTCGTCTCATGTCATTTGTTCTGTATAAATCAGTCTACAATATCGTTCTTATATTGTATTGTTTTCTTTTTTAATAATATATTATGTTTAAACCGCTGCCTTTGTTTCATTTTCCTACCATGATACATATATTACATTGATTTTTATTTTTGTAAAGTATACTCAACCATGATAGTTAGCCATTTGATCAATGTAAATTCAGATAACATACCCAAGTCAGACATTAAATTATCCCGGTTAGTCTGCTCTTCATTGAAGTTAGGTGATACATTACCTGACAAAATATTGTACATTATATTGGGTAAAATAAGACCGTTCTGGAAACTTGCTATAACAGCGATTTAGTAGGTATTTTACGAATTATGGTAAGCAAACAAATAAAGTTATCTACGAAATCGAACACGATCCGTGCGGGTGACCTTGTTTACGTAGATGGGAATAAAGCTACGTAGGATATTAAATTACTTACATAGGTAGGTAGCTGTAGTTTTGAATCTGTCGCTGTCAGACGTGGTGGACACAAATAGAGTTCCATTCACGTCCAGGCTAATTTGAGGTCGGCCTGAGACTCGTAGACGAGATTCCAAAGTGGGATACTATTCGACGACGCATTTCGACAGCAATAAGCACAAAAACTCGTATTCACCATCACATGACTACTGCACGTGTGTCTCAGGCAACGTTTATCACAATAATTAACCGCCAAACAAACAAAAATCAATAACCAAACAAAACAGGAATAATTAAAAAAAAAAAACAGACAGTTAACAACAAAATTATGCATATAAAAAAGAATAACTAAAACTAGTGAATTAATAATTACAAAAACAACTTGTAATTTTCGCGCGCGCTTGAAATCCAACGAGAAACTAAACTAAGGCCGGAAAAATGGCGGAAAAGAACACAGATTAAAAAATAAAAAAAATTAAAGGTTTACAAAAGTGACATTGTATTTACCTATCTAATATTCAAATCCAAATCCATACTCTTGCTCAGGACACGTTTAGGAAGGGATTAGGAAGGGGAAGGATTGGGCCTCCGGTAACCTTACTCACACGGCGAAACACAACACTGTGGTTGTTTCACGCCAGTTTTCTGTGAGGCCGTGGTCCCACACTTACCATTTTCATACACTTATCATGTTCATACAAAGGTATGTATTTTTTATAACATAATGTAATTGAAAATAGGCAGTTATTGGGTTTGATAATGAGAAAAAACCTAAGTAATCGAAATTAAACAACCTACCCAGGTACGCATATTAAGAAACTAAGACACATAGACGTAGGTAGAGAATGATACAACGTGAAATTAGTGAAGACAGATTTTAATTTATTTTTTGTATTCTTCGAGGGAGGCCCACGCAGATTTAAATACTATCCCGTGCCGCGGCGCACGCAGCCGGCGCCGCGGCATCCGTGCGTATATTATTGTTTACTTTACAGTAAGTGACATATCAATATTGATTTTAAAGTTTACGCATTGTAATTTGTAATGTGTTTAAACACAATTATTCAAAAAGGTGCTATTGAAGACCGAATTTTATATGTATTCGTTGGTATTGTTATTGTTAACCGTAAGTGAGTTTTTAACCGACTTCCTCTTATTTCTCCGATTTATTTGTAACTACTTTATTGATGCTATCGGACCTTGATATGATTTGAATGATACACAAACACAGATCAAGTGTGTAAATAATGTTGGTACTACACTTGTTAGGTATGCAATTATTTTCGGGTGCGTGGGCGCCAGGCGAGCGGTCAATTTGATTCATCAGCTGTTCTTTTACTTGAATAAGTTAACTTATTAAAACAAGGAATAAAATGTATGCATATTTTGTGTAGGCAATAATAGTTTTAAATTACTATCCCAAGGTGATGTCAAAATGTACAATTGAGAAAAAAAACTTTTTTTTTTTAGTTAGGCTAGTATTCGATTCATTATCACAACAAACGACGGATTATCTGATGGTAAGCAATCGGTGCCGCTCATGGACATCCCGTGGCCTTTTTACCGACTTCAAAAAACGAGGAGGTACTATGTTTGGCTGATTGCTTTTTCTTTTTATTTTTTTTTGTATGTTCACCGCTTACTCCGCCATTTATTAACCGATGTCCAAAATTCTTGTTTTGTTTGAAAGGTTATAGGTTATAGGGTTATAAGGGTCCCATTTTCATGAGGTCAGGATCTGATGATGGAATCCTGGGGAAACTGAGGGGAACTTTCGTAAATTGTAGGGGCGAGAAGTGCTTTTGCATGTTTTTTCAGTAGACTTTTTACAAAGCTACAATTTGCCGATGGTCGAACTGCCTGATGATGGAGCCAGAAGACAGTCGAGGGATCTCCTTGATTATTTGGAGTAGTTACCTTGTATTTGGGCTTGAATGATTCGTATTGGTGAGCACTTTGCACCATGATTGGTCGTGACTGTCATTAGGGGTCTGATGATGAGAACGAAAGACAGCTCAGGGAACTGCTGAACGGTTTACAGTAACTACATCGTGTTTGGACTTAATTCATTTATATCAATGAAAACTTCGCACCTACACGGGTTACAATGTAGTGACGCAGTCAATCTGATGATGGAGCCTTAAAACCTTCGAGGGATCTCCTGCACTATTTGGAGTAGTTTCCTTGTGTTTGGGCTTGAATGATTCGTATTGGTGAGCACTTTGCACCAAGGTTGGTCGTGACTGTCATTAGGGGTCTGATGATGAGAACGAAGGACAGCTCAGGGAACTCCTGAACGGTTCACAGTAACTACCTCGTGTTTAGACTTAATTCGTTTATATCAATAAAAACTTCGCACCTTTATGAGTTACAATGAAGTTATGGAGTAAATCTGACGATGGAGGAGGAAGGCTGTCGTGGGATCTTTTTAACTATTTGGAGTGATAATGTTGTGCTTGGACTTAATTCATTTATATTGATGAGAACTTTGCACCTATATCGATTATGGAAGTATATTGAAGGTCTGCAGTATACATGATGATGGAGATCATTAACAGTCGAGGGAATTCCTCAACGATTTACAGCTAAACTAATTTAACACTGACTAACTCAGGACTACTTCGTGATTTTCGGTCTCAAGTAGCCGTCGTCTTATTCATCATCAAAGTCATACTTTGGTATGACCGACGACAACAGTTTTAGAAAAATATATTGATCGGTAACTTCTATTCATCAAACTGATAATAGATATTCTTGTTGTGTGTCATCTTTACACTATTTTTGTTTTACTTGGCACCAATTCAAGATTATAAAATGGTTATTAATATTATTTTCTATTTAACTAAATGAAAACATGTATTAATTTCTACAAAGAAAATTTATTTTTTGCTTTTTACTTTACTTTTTAAAGTCGGAATATTTTTGTTAAAAATTATTTATAGTAGAGGACAGTTCGTTTGCCGCACATAGCGCAACTATAACAGGGTGCCCGACATTTATGGGCTAAGACCCCACTTTGAGGAGTGGCTTGAGAGTCGCCACGACGTCCTCACCTTACGCCTGACGCAGGTGCTTACCGGACACGGCAGCTTCGGTAGGTTCCTGTTTCGGATCCAGCGGAAGGAAACGCCCGAGTGTCGTCATTGTGAGGATCACCTGGAGAACACGGTGGAGCATACGGTGGCGGAGTGCCCTGCTTGGGCTGAGCACCGCCGTGTTCTCAGGGAAGTAATCGGCGGCGGTGATCTCTCGCGCCCGGCCTTAATCGAGGCCATGGTGCAGCGTGAGAGGAACTGGGAAGCTATCTCCTCCTTCTACGAAGCAGTTATGCTCGCAAAGGAAGAGGCGGAGCGCGTGAGGGAACTATCCTCCTCGCGCCCCAGCCGCCGCAGAAGGAGACATTCTGGACGTCGGGGATCGAGAGATAATCTCCGGCCACCGTAAGCGCGCGTCTGCAGACGGCGAGTAAGGGTAGCTTGCCGCCCGACCAGAACCGGACCCGAGCGTACGGCGCGTAGCGTTCCGCGCGCGCCTCAAAGAGCCAATAGACCACCACAGTCGGGGTCCAATAGGGCTGATGTTTAGCCGGGGCTGCGGGGTAAGCGCAATGAGGCACCGCGACCTCGGCCCAGAGCAGGAGAAGTCGGTAGGTTCCTGTTTCAAATCCGGTGGGAGGAAACAGGATGATTTTCCCCTCACAAAAAAGTCTATAAATGTGCGATCTAGAGTGACTTAAAAGTTGTCCAGTTTAATTGGAATACTTAGTTTATGTAACTAAATAGTATTTCGATCTAATAGTGGAGTTATACAATAGTGAGTGCCTGACTGAAAGTTACTAAAATTACATAAAAATACTACTCTCAGTCCGATTGATAAAAAAATACTTACATTTACGTAATTATCTTATCATTTCTGAAGCGATCGCAACTGGATTACTACAGTCGTAACATGGTGACCTTTAGGTAGGAAAGTCAATACCCCCTTACATTATGTGTCTTATTAGCTGAACTTCACGTGTGTGGTGGGATGTCAGAGCTATCTGAAGATTTCTACTATGCATCCACTTGGTCATACCACCAGTTCATTCCATTAGACAGACATCTATACAGTCTGTTGTTCATTACCCTGAACCGCGTTGGATTTCATTGTTTCATTTGTTTCGGTGTTTCCGTCGTTGGTTATATACAAACTGCAGAATCGCAGTGGTTGGCTAAGTAAGTCTGGTAAAGAAAAAACATTTTTAACACTTTTATTAACACTTCGATTTTCACAATGTTATCTCGGATGCCGCCTACATTTTACTCGAACTCGCCGGGCGAGTCCACATCGCTGGAATAAAAATTACGTGGACTCTCTAGGCGAGTCGATGGCATTTAATGTGTTAAAGGCAAGGCAGTTGGTGAATCTAGCAGGAGTATCCGTCTCCTACTTAAACCACAATTCCTACTCCGAGCAGAGGCAGATAAACGGGATAACATGTAGTGCCTGCACCTGCAATCCTGCTCAGACATCGATCCTAATGGGTGCTACCCGTGGTTGGCTCTTTGAGGCGCCTGCGGAACGCAATACGCGTACCCTCGGGTTATGTTCTGGTCGGTTGGCAAGCTACCCAGACGACTACGATGCCCAGATCGTCTCCGTTAGCTGGGACATGCGGATGTACCTACATGAACGAAAGCCGGGCGCGAGAGATCACCGGCGGCAATCATCTGAACGCCTGCGTCTGGCAGAAGCAATATTTTAATTTTTAATTGAAACAAATTAAATTCTAATTTTAACTCGCATTACCCAAACTTTGAATGAAACTTGGCACTCGTAACTTTTCCGGTGGTGCGGGTGTCCATGGGCGGTGCTGATTGCCTACCATCAGATATACTCAGCGTTGGCGCCCTATCACAAAAAAAATATCTGAGGCTTATATAATATAATATCTGAGATTATTCTTTCATATCATCAGCAAACAGCAGTTGCAAATAAGTAAATAAATTACTCACGATTACGAATTATGAGCTTCAAAATTTACAGAAAATCAAATAAATAAAGAACGCAATGCATGCGATGCGAGTGTGGTAGTCAATTCGTGAAATATCGCGTTATCTCTGTACCAACAGCTTCGGGAGCTGAGGTCCAGTGAGCGCGGACAGGGAGCCGCCTCCACACAGTTAAGGGAGGGTAGAGGGGGGAGGAGGTCGCGAGAAATTGAATGAAAACATTGAATATTTATTCTGAGACGATGCCAGTGCACCGCTGCGGGCCTTCCACAAGTACGAGGCGGACGAGCAGAGGAGACACTCTTGCTTTAGCTTTTACGTGCCTACTCAGTACTCAGTGCTTGCCGGGTACTGACAGTAACACTGTAGTGCGGTAAACACTATTTACTTAGATAGTAACATACCGTGTGCTGCTAGGTCTAAAACATTTTTGAGGCCGATTGTTATTGTGTTTATCGCCTTACTAACGTTTGACGAAGGACTCGACAAGATTCAAGGCACGGGTGGGGTTCATATGCTGAGCAGCATTGCTCGACACACAACGTTCTAGCTTGTGCTATATTTGGTACAGCCTTATATCTTATTAAAATTGTCTGTTTTGCAATTTGTTCTAATTAAGCAACTATTAAATGAAGTTTATAGATAAGTTTATAGATATACCAAAAAATAATATAATTAAAACAATTAGATATGTAACTGTCTAGTTAGAAAACTGAATCATTTGTACAAACAAAGGGTGGTGTCCCGTCTGCGAGAGCACTTCTATGTGGTTCCGGGATGATCTTGTGGCTCTCCTTTTAATATTTGATCTGCATATTTATAAATCGTGCTCGGACTGTTTGCGCCGCCCCTCGAGCGTATTTGCAGATTTATAGTTTATTTCATTTCGTGTGAGGACCCTTCGACTAACATCTACAATTGTTTACTGTACATTCTCCAGGAAACGCATGGACTGGAATGTTTTATATAATGCTCGTGTTTGTCCACAATATTCAAAGAATTTAGAATTTATGTTGCAGTAACGGTGTGCCAGCAGTCGGTCACGTCGTTCTGTGAAGCGTGGTTTTGTTCCTCAGATGTCGCGCGATTTCCGCGAATAAACTATTACCTTACAAGCTACATGTACACATTGACCTACATTCAAGTACTTATGAGTAGCTATAAAGTAAAACACATTGCGTCGTTGCTTCATTTGTTAACTAGCTATTATTTGCTCACGGCTACATACATATTACATACCTACATAGTTACGCACACATACAAAACATTCAAAACAGTCTCGTTCGGAACAGGAGATCTTATTGTCGTCAAAATACCTTTTTGTACCTCTCCACAGCTACACATCCTTTTCTGAAACCGAAGAAACAATTATACCTACGTTGAAACGAGAGTTATGGAGGTTTCCTAATCCAGCTAAACTACAGTTAAGATTTTATGATACGCATGTATACCTGCATTAGCGAATGCAAAGTACGGACACGTCACAGTCAGATTCAAATAAACAATTCATCGATCATATATTAAGTGGTTCCATGTGGGAATCAAACTCGCGACATGTTGCACAGCACCACCAAGCCAATACCTGGCCTCACGGAAAACCTATGTGAAACGATTACAGCGTTGTGTTTTGCCGTGTCACTGAGATTACTGTCTAGGCCCAATCCTTCCCCTTTCTCAATCCCTCTCCAATCGCATAATCTTCAAATTCTTAATCCCCAAACGGTCGGCAATGCACTCGTAACTCCTCCGTTTTGGCGGGTGTCCATGGGCGGCGCCGATTGATTTCCATCAGGTCATTCGTATGCTCGTTTACTAGGTCGACAAAAAAAACTTAGTTACTGAACTTTATTTCTAATAAGTATGTAGTCTGACTGTACCTACCTAAATATCGTAATCTTGAAGACCATTTTAAGGAGTGTCGCAAACGTGAGCTGAGAGCAATATAGCATTGTGTCAGTGCAACGCGTCATTGATACCACAGATTATAGTTACCTTTACCTCACCAACTTACCGGCGTCAGAGACTTTGATATGTACGAGTACGTAGACTTGAAGAAATATTGAGGCTTTTATGGCTAATTAGTAAAGTACAAACTTGTACCTTTACACTACAAACTTCTTTGTTGTACCTACAATAAAGATTATTTGTTATTAACTTTCGTAATTCCGTAGCCGACCACTAATTAGGCAAAAGAGTCTCATTATTTCATCAGGTCTTCGTGCATATCATAGTCTACGACTCTGGTAAACTATCCTGGGTCAAAAATAAATAAATTCGACGTTTCAACACAATGAAATATTGAAATAAAACTATACTTTTATTCATCGATCTGTAGATACACTAAATTATTGATATTTTTTAGTATTTTTCTTAAGAAATAGGTAAGTATAAATATTTGATGCAAAAATATTACGACGTCATAATTTGGAGTTTATACCAATTTCATAATAAAGTATAGTTTTTGACATTGGGATAAAAGTATTGAATTTGACTAGTTGGAAATTACCGTAATACAGTACAGGGTACACAGGCGGCCTTATCGCTAATAGCGTGCTAAAAGCAATCTTTACCAGGCATAACCTTTAGGTGGACGGAGTGCTGTTGTAATTAGTTGGTATTAGACCTGATGTACTTTGGTGTACAAACAACGGAATATACAACACATACATCACTACATAGTTTAATAAAAAGTTACTTTTACTGTCCCTATATCCCTATGTGTGCTTAAATCTTCAAAACTACGCAACTGATTTTAATGTGGTTTATATGTATACCTAATAACATCCATTAAATAGTAGGGAAATTTAGTACTAGCATTGTAAATGTGTGAAGGCAGGGTGGGTCGCTAGTTGATACATAAAATTTTTTATTTAGATATGAGCTACTAAGTAATTAATGTAATATAACACCATTTGTTGACTAGATTACTGTCCTTTATTAACTTTGTGACGGGATTTACATTTCATGGCACTCTCGCAGGGCACGTACCCTTGCAGTCCGTACTGGCACAGCATGTGCAGCAGGAACAGACCCTGGGAGCTCTCGGCTGCGTCGCTCACGTACAGCTGCCGGTCCATGTGCATCACTCGCGACCGGTTCACCGTACTCCGGGGCCAGCGGACTGGCAGCAAAGCGCTCGTATGCGGGGTTGGATCCCTGAAATAGGTAATAAAAATTAATTTATTTCTCGGTAATAGAAAAATTTCGTTATAGGTACTACTTATCTATACTAATATTATAAAGCTGAAGAATTTGTTTGTTTGAACGGGCTTATCTCCGGAACTACTGATTCATATAGAATTCTTTTTGTGTTTGTTAGTCCATCAAATTTATCGAGGAAGGCTATAGGATATAAAACATCACGCTATGATCTGTAAGAGCTGAGCAGCGGATGAAACCGCGTGATCGTAGCTAGTTTATTATATACATATTTAAATTAATATTGATGCTTTGTGGATTGATATATTCGCTCACCCGGGATCGCACCTAAGACGCCCCGTTGGGACTTAGGAGTTATTTAACACTTACACTTACAGTACTTGATGTTTTTCTTTGGTTTCAGGCTCCCACCACACTAGGTATTAGGTATTAGAGGTTTGGGGGATTGGGGAAGGGAATGGAGAAGACTGGGTCTCCGGTAACATCACTCACTCGCTGGTTTTCAAAGGATCACTCCAGTCGAGCCGACCCATTCGTGCTGAAGTATGGCTGCCCCGCACTTAAAACTCGATGTTTACATTGCCGGTGCTCGCCATACATGACCTACAGTGGCTAGATACTTGTACATTCTGTAATGGCGGAGTGATGTTATACTCGATATTAATGTCCGCACTTGTTAATGTTTGTTTATAATGGATGGATGATGGCGCGATGGTGCAACCTCCTGATGTTATGTGGTGGGTTTACGTCATCGCCACTTCAATGATGTGCAGAAAGTCACATAAAATTACATCTCAAAATTGCCTTTCAAATAATCTACTATTTTTTTTATTAAGGAAATGTTTGGTCAAATGTAAATTAAAATTAAGGAGATAGTCTGGTTTTGTTCTCAGTCTACTTAACTATGTGTATAGTCCATTCCATCTTTATGATAATGAACTTGTTACTCACCCAAACTTCATAAAGTTGGTCAGCATTGTGGTTTGTCTGTCGATGATGAGCATGTCGGACTGCCGGATCCGTAGAGGGAAGCCTGCAGGCTTGAATATGTAGAAGATGTCATCACTGTGTGTCGCCCCTCCCTGGCGCAGACCGCGGCCATACACCACGCTGCCGAAGTTGCGGCCGCCCCGGTACGAGAACATATAGTTGAACACGGGCTTGTCTGAATGCTCCGCTACCAGTTTGGAGAACGCGTGTACGGCCGCGTTCGTAATCCAATCCGAGTAATAGTCCACAGTGCCTTTGATAGCTTCTTTGCTATTGATCCTTTGTTTCCCAAAATAATGCGAACGAATTTCCTTCGCTATTTTTCTTTTATCTTCGTCGGAGCACCAAGAAAATACCGACGGCAGCCTGTCTATGAAGTTATTGTCTAAATACTCTAATGTTCTTTGGTTATGGAACCCGTAAAACAAGACGCCCTCCGAGTCTGTGACGCCGATGATGACGGGGACTTTGTTGAATTCCCCAGAACTTATGATGTTGTATGGCGTGTCTTGGAAGAAAGCGTCGGTGAAGTTGGTGTCAACACATGGCGCGTACTTGAAGTACCGAGGGTCGATGGAAGTTCCTTGAGTCGCCTGCAGTACATCAGATAGCGATGATTTTAGAAAAGTATTATAAACGTCGCGTTCATTTCTCACTTTTCCCATTTTTGCAGCATCTTCAAACGCTGGAGTAAGTGGTTCAGGATTAAACGACCAGGGTGCTAGAGCTACTCCACTCATCAGGATCGCTTTGTGGAACAGCCCCTTGCTCCGCTTCGACAGCAAGTGCATCGCTGCGGAGGTGGACCCCGCGCTGTGCCCCGATATAGTTACGTTATCTGGATCGCCACCGAAAACTGATATGTTTTTTCGTATCCACTTCAAAGCCGCTAGTTGGTCTTTAAGTCCTAGGTTGGCGACGTTATTGAGGCACAGGAAGCCAAGTACCCCCAATCTATAGTTCACTGTTACGACGATGACGTCCTTGTCGACTAGATACTCCGGGTCGTAGTGCCACTTGCTGCCCATGTAGTACGCTCCTCCGTGCAGGAACACGAGCACGGGCAGGGCGCGTCCTGGCGTCGCCTGGCCCGGGGTGTACACGTCGAGGAACTGGCATTCCTCCCTCCCAACCCCAAACACGGCGAAGGTTTGCGCGCAGGAGTCAAACCGGGCCACTGCATGGAAGATGCCACTCCATTTTCGAGGTGATTGAGGTGGCTGTAAGATTTAGTTTCTCAATTAATTAATTGCAGTAGGAATATAATTAGCTATACAAGTAAGTAATCGTGACATAAATAGGTCCAAACGACTTTGTTACTATTGTCGAGACCGGTGTTATTTGTAGGCAATAAATAGTAGGTCACACTAGCACTTAAATAAGTTTAAAAAATCGAGTCTCTCTGAGAATCAAGTTATTATACGAGTGTACCGCCGCCAAAACATAGAATACATTTCCTTCCATAAAATACATTCGAGTACAATCTCGTCCTCGTCCACGTTACCGGGAAATAACTCGAGAATTTTAATCTAATATACGTCGTGGAGCATTAATATCTGCACGCGACTCATACGCTATGCAGATTACTGGCGCAGTGATATTACAAGTCGTATACTCACTTGGAATCTCTCGCTGATGGCGTATGGTATCCCGTAATACCGGTATTGTCCGGAGAAGCTCCTCAGCCCCCGTAACTTCCCCTGGCTTACTTCCACGACCGGAGTGAAGAATAAGCCCCCGACGACTTGCAGACACCACCAACTCACCACATACACTGCTCTCCTCATATTTACTCACTAGACAAAGTTGTAATTTTCATATTGCCACTAATATCGTACTTAGTGTAAATGTAACGTAATCTCGCGTCTTCGCAAAGTTAGGCAAGAGTTTATGTTAGGGATGGACAAGATGACTCAATGCATCTTACACTTTAGTTTGTACATTAATTAATACAGGTAAGTTACTTTGTTATACAGACAGCCACGTTATGGATTAGATTAATCAGTCTGTTTTATATTTTCACTGGTCTATTAATATAACAATAGAATTAATGGTATTCTTTTATTTCAAAACGCCATTTGTAGAAAACGGTCAGGAATACGTTTTGTTATAAAGTAAGTTTCACAATAACACGTTCAAAACAATGCTGTAGCTGCTCGCGTAGTACACTCTGTTGAGTGCAGCAAGTTCAGGGCTGACTCGTCAAGATCAAGCGTGGGGCCTGTGCAGCGTGCGCGCCGGTCTGCTGAGCACTGCTAGGGAAAGTACACAAGTCGCGAGATCAGGCGGTGGCCCAATGCGCTTGCGCAACTCCTCTATAATGTTTGCAAATAGTCCGCAACGTTACACACATTATTTGCTGACAACTCCTCCGCAACTGTGTCTTGTTTTTGTTTTACACATTTGCTAGAAACTGTTTGATTCTAGTGTAAGTACGTAAAGTGTCGGAGCAATGAAACAATGAAACATACACTGCCTAACAACATGTTCTAAGAAGTATCAATCTTTGATTGCCTTTAGCGGTTATTTGTAGACTAGACTCAGGTAACATCTTAGGATGTTATGTTACAATGTCTTCGTTCTGTCTTTTGCTTTTTGTCAGTTATTTTATGAACTTCATACTTTCATTATTAATCATTTTAATTAGTAGGAATATTTATGTAGTTTCCGGCTGTGCGCTACTGAAGGGGTGCAACAAGAAAATCAATGTTAGCTATATGTTCCTAAGGTGTAATGCGGTTTTAATAACCGTCTGTTTGCATTAACATTTGTTAATTATATTTTTTTAATTAATTTTGTTGATAGATTGTATCTAACTTACTGTTAACTTTAACTCCTGTTTGTTGCTAACCGACTTCTTGTTATGATCTTGTCAAGCGTGTTGATGCAGAATAAATCCATTTTTCCTTTATTGACCTTACCTCTTGTAGTATATCCAGCATATTTCCTAATTTTGTAACATCTACTAATACACCCTTTTTAGTTACCGAATCGAAGAAGATCGTGTTAAGTAATGTATACAGTCATTTGATCGTTGTGTGGTTTTAGTTTGAGCTCAAAATAATTTAAGATGTATTTAGCAAGTGTCACTACTGTTCGCGGCGTCTCTTAAGAATAAGTAAGACGGGCACAATTACTTACTTTGCATAAAACAATTTGGTAGAAACTTTTGAGACAGATTTCAAAGAAGCCATCTCTTGGCTAAACTTGAAATGAAAATAGGTTTTTAACGAATGAGAAGTCGCAAACAATAATAGTAAGTGCATTAAATATAAATAGTCATATAACACAGAGCTGCCCTCTGCCGGTCCGCGCGCGCACTCTCTGCTAGGCTCGATTCACACTGGAGCTGCAATATCATTCCTTTGTTTTCATATTTATGAACTTTTAATATTATCATGCATTATTTAAGACGTCATTCTCGTATTTTGTTGTTCTTTGTGTTTGGCAGTTTTAATCTGTCCATCGTCATCTTTCACTTATTTTTGATATGATTTAAATGTTCTTGACTTTATTAAAGCCATACGTTCGTAAAACGCTTCTTTTATTAATGGAGGGGCTCCAGGCCAATGAAACCCAAAATTCTTCAAACAATTACTTACTTGTAAAGAATTCGAGCGCAAAGTTTCCAGTATCATCAATACGGGCCAACTGAGCTCGCTCTTAACTAAATTGTTGTTTAATCAATCAAAACAAATTCACGCAGCGAACGCTAAATTGATTCTTTGCTTAAAAAAGCACTTTTTCCGTTGGCCGTAGTCGGCTGGGCCTTAGAGCCGGGCCGGAGCCGGCCGGAGAGCCGGGCGCCGCCCCGAGCGCCGGTGTGGAGCCCGTCCAACGAGATAACTTTTGAATTAAAACGCCGAGGAAGTCCTTTCCTCGTCCAATTTGCATGTTTGCCCAGTTTATAACAATTAGCCGCCGCTTCCCGGGTATTTTTCTTTATTACCAGGATTAGCGCGGCCCGCCGTCGCGAGGGTACAGACTTGCGCTTAATTATGCTTTATATATGAATGCTGGCCGATTGCTCCCTTTATTGCGCCGTTAAATAGCTCTTACTGTGCTCACAGCGCTCACTCCGCGGCTTCCCAGAGTTTTATAATTATAAAGAGATGACTTTCATTAATGCGGCTTTCAATCTTACTATATGTAAGTGCTTTAGAATATTTATATACTTCTCTATTAAGGGCCGGTGCTATTACATATTCTATAAAACTTATAATTGTCATAACTATTTCAAAAATCGAACGTATCACAAATACTAATGTTATTGCGAAATGATTTTGCTTTTTAATTGTTCTTGAAGTTAAGAGGACTATGATAAGAATATCTTACCGTAATAATAAGCTTGTACGTATAATTTTTCATTGATGTCTTTAAGTGTTAAATTTAAGTTGTACGATTGTGGGAATGCAACAATTTGTAAGATGGCGGCGGGGGCTGATAACTGCTGTAAACTTGATCAGACAACTTGGCCAATTCCAGCGACTGCCGGCTGCAGTCTCAGCTACAATGACAATTATGTACGAACATACAAGCGTACGAATGTACTCACGTATATATGTGAAGAGTTAGTACGAGTGACGCGTTTCCTGCTAATTTTCTTCGCTGTAAGTTAACAAACTATTGCTTGGAAAGTTTGCAGCGCGAGTTGTATTGGAGTTAAGGTTTCTGTGTGCCAATTATTTTCATTAAATTATTACTGTTTCGTGTTATCGTTTTCCTTATTGCTTAGATAGTTGCGTGTTTGATTCTACATATCTTACATATCCAATATTCAGAGTGGGAGTCAGAGACCTACACCAAGAAGTTCAAAATGGTTAGTCACTGGAAGTTAGTTTCGTGTCTGCGTTTACAAATTTTGGATCACAAAAAGTGTTCTTTCGTGCGGAATTCCAACCCGCAACACGTTGCACAGCAGCCAGTTGCCCAGCCACTATGCCAACTGTGCAGACGATTGACTCTGTTTGACGGAGAACAGACTCGCCAAGGTTTTGCTACCGTAGAACCTGATTAATTTGGTGTCACCGCAATCGGATACCACTTTCGCACGTTCCACCATAGCTCCTCTTATATATAGGATCTGGATTTCGGCCACACCTTCCACACTCGTTGCAACCACATTGCAGTAGGATAATTATTTTAGTCTGGGATGGATTGAAATAATTATCCCATTTTACACGAACGAACACGGCTAGGCTGCTTGGCGACACGTCTTTGCTCGGATGGTCATGTGGCCGACGGCTGAATATACCCCGTTAGTGTCACCCGATCACCACTTGGTGGCCACGTGTAGGGATCAAAATGTAAGAGTTCTCTCCTACAGATGAGGGTTACTTAGTCTCCAATACTCTTCTTTAAGGTCTTTCACATTTATACAGTCCATATCGGCAGTACAAGTAACACCCCTGAAATAAATTAGTACTTACGTGAATAACACCTGAAATGAAAGAACAAACAAACAATGGATATACATATTTATATGCATATAGAAAACAAATATTAATGTAGTGGTTTAATATACAAGTGTGTTCACAGTCAAGCAGTATGTGTCTAGTCATAGACGGAGTGTAATACATAAATAATGTCTCCTTATATTATATTCTGATTCACGCAATAATGCCTCAAGGTCTCGGTTCAACGCCCCTAAATACGCTGCTAAGAATTTTCACAAAATTCTCGAAACTTTCTGAGAAATGTCTCTCTCAGTGAATTTAGAAGATGTCTCAATTTTAATTTTATATTAATATATTCTGACACTAGACAGTATTTGTCTGCGGGTTTACTTGCTAATAAATAAAAAGCAATCAACTACTTACTGCTTACAGAGCAATGTTTAAAGCATCTAGTTATAAATTAACTAGTTATTTGACATGTTAAGTGCCGTGACATATTTCGTGTTAAGTATTTTAAAAGTTACTTTTAACGTGATTCACACGTTTCCTTTGTATTCGTGGGTTCATATAACTCGTTCTACATACGCAACTGTCCGAACTCGGGCTGTGTGTGGAAACCGAAGCTAAGTTTGACATATCACGGTTTTTTAAGTGTAGAAGAGACATGCCTCGGCACGAATGGGTCGGCTGGACTGGAGTGATACCGCGGCTTCACAAGAAATCAGCGGAAAACAACAAAATCGTTGTATTTCGCCGTGTGAGTGATGTGCCGGAGGTCCAATCCTCCCCCTCCCATTCTCTATTCTCAATTATCCTATCCGTAAACCCCTAACAACCCACAAGAGGACGGCAACGCACTCGAAGTAAATTCTTTAGTGTTGCGAGTGTCCCTGGACGGCGCCGATTGCTTACCATCAGGTTATCCGTATGTCGTGATGACCAATGTCGTAAAAGAAAACACCACCCAGCGACTATGTCAATCGCGCAGCCAATGAAAACATTAGGTAAAATTTTCACAATAAGATTAACAGCTTCAGCAACCAGCTATTATCTTGCTTCACTTCAGTTGCAGCTCAAGTAGCTCCATTACCTGATGACACAGAACACAGCATGCGAGCAACATACAGCTTATTTATGTTTATTGCTTATTTTAAATTGCTGAAACAAGCTAGCAGTGTTATCTTTATTAGTTCCCAAGGCGACCATCCCGGGGACTTTGTTGAACTTTCTAAGCCCTGTGTCTCCGTAGTGTGCCTGCAATGACTTCCTAGTTTGAATATGTAGCTTGTAGATGCACTTCTCTCTCAACTATCTCTCATTTTTTGTCTTTTCGGAATTTGACCTACCCTATGAATATGACAGATGCCTATAGTTCTTTGATGTTGTATTTATATTCCTTACTTTTTTTGGGATCGAGGCAGCATACGAGCTCACTTGGTAGTTAGCACTCGGCAATACACGTGGACATGTGCAACTCCATAACCAAGTAGTAGACGGCTTATTGTGAGTTTTCAGAGAATTTTTGTGATTTGAAGATTTGGGATTTGCCGATTAATAATGGGGAGACGAAGAATTTGGCCTCCGGTAATCTCACTCAGAGATACACAATGTAAGCGTTATAATGTAACGTAGTGAGTCAATAAAAAAATATACATATAATAGGTTCCCAAAATTATCTTAATTAAGAAATGTTTACACGCAAATTATTTGTGTGTGTGTGTGTGTGTGTCCTGCTTCCCTGACAGGACCCTCAGTTGTGATACATCAATACATTATAAGATCAAACAGTCTGAGGCCGCGGCAGCGGCTCAATTAGAGAGCCACGGGCCCTATTCAAATATCTGAGGGTCAGCCCCATTACGCTGCATCGGATCCGACCTATTTGCTTTTCATTAAATCATTTTGTTGTAGAACAAAGATCGGGTGGAGAGGTTGGTTTATATATTTTTACGGAACTAATAAAAGGCAATAGGTATAGAATTTTGAATCATACCCTTTAATTTGTAATGTTGGACCATGCAATAACTATGCTAGAGATCACTGATCCGTAGTATGGCTACGACACATACAGTCACGTTTTATAGGCTACGTCACCGATCCTACGCCACACTACGTTATTCTCTATACGCTGCTACGCCGTAACCGACCGCCATGTAGCGTTCTGGCGACGTAGCACAGGAACGCTACGTCTCACACTACCTGCTAAGTCTTTCATGTCACTCCCTACCCTCTTTGCTATTTTTATACCTAATGCTACGCCATCGCGTATCCACGCTGTTTGTAGCTACGCTACACGGCAATGATACTTTTTTATGTGATAGCTCGACAAACGAGCAAACGGATCCCTGATGGAAAGCAATCAGCGCCGCCCTTGTACACCCGTAGCGATGTAGGAGTTACGAGCGCGTTGCCGACCTTTTAGGGATTAGGAATTTAGAGATTTTGGGATTGGGGAGACATTATTCTCGTATATTTCATCAAAATTATATGAAATCCTTACTTAATCGGTTTAGTGCGTTACCTCTGACAGCTTCGTTGTTTTTTACTCCTATGAGATAATAATCCATGACATAATACTTTTTAGATACGATAAAGGCTTTCTTACGATTCTATGCTCTCTGTAGTCTCAAACGTCAGACAGATACATCAGCAGTATAGTAGCTATCACGCAGACAAACCCCCACAAACAATGCTAGCGCGGGGCTCTGTTGACGACCAGTATACATTTTACGCCTATACATGTATTAAGTCGGGGTGGCCCGGAGGTTTGGGTGACTGTTTCTCATGCACGATGTTCAGGGTTCCAGGCCTGGTAAGTACCAATGTGACTTTCTCCGAATTGTATGTACTCTCGAGACACATTAAGATGCGATTGACAAATGGTGAAGAAAAATAGGTGAATCGTGAGAGAACCTAGTGTTATAATTTCAAATTATAAGGAACTTGGAAATCGCCAAGGATCCGTTTTGAACAAGCGTGGCGTGTAAGGTTTGAACCTTCTTAGTATGAGAAGAGGAGCGAATTATACAGACAGATAATTTGTGACTACTTACTACCTAATTGTATTGAAAAAAAGCGTCATACACACGGGAATCAACTGAGAAACGCTTAAAGTTTTAAATCACAGATTTGAAACTTTTGAATAAAAGTAATGTGAAGGACAATAAGTCGTTATATTAATTAGTTTCATATGTCTTACGATGTTTTCTATTATATAAGTGAAAATCTATAATATAAAAATGAATTGCAAAATCGCATAACTCAAAAACGGCCGAACCAATTTTGCCAAATCCTTTTGTTTTGTATTTATTAATGTTAGGAGAAGGTTCTTATGAAAGGAAATATTAGAAAAGTAGAGTAGGTAAAAGGGACCCCTTTCATTGTTAGCGAGATAGTTGGACCCGTGCGAAGCGGGGTGGGTAGCTAGTTTTAAATAAAAATAATTAAAAACAACAGCAGACTGACGTAGCACTTTTATTATGGTAATATCACACCCGGAATCACAATTTTTACATAACATAACATAACCACGTAGCCCGTTATGTGAGAAGAACTCACGTTTGTAACATTACATTATCACCTACTAGTCACTAGTCAACTATCCAATATAAATTCGACTAGACAGTTATCACCGCACACAACTATACTAAACTATAACTATGTAGTTACTAATACTAAGTAGAACCACTCGTCTCTGCACATTGCATAAAGGTCACTTTGTGATGTATTTTATCATAAATACTTATATATTAAGTTATGGCCGAAATCCGATTATCTATATACGACTTTTTTGGATAAGGCGACAAACGACCATGTTGGTAAGCAATCGGCGCTTCCCATGGCCACCCGTAATACCAAAGGAGTTACTAGTGCGATGCCTTTTGGACTTAAGGTATTTAAGCATAGCTTCAATTAATATGCATGAAAAATTACACGTACGTTGAAATTAACAACATAAAATATATAAAAGTTTCGTCTGTGAATTTATAAACTGTGAAGTTAAGTTAGTGTTACACTGTTCTCACATATCAGAACCGACTAAATGATGTAACAAAGAAATGTATTGTAAAACTGATTGAATAAGAGTAACCATGGAGTTTGTTGCTCGTTCTTCTCCATAGGAATCTACTCTTTGGAACGAGCAAATAGCTTCACTAGAGGACAGACGGACAGACTGACACGCTTAAAGTTAAAGCTCTTCAAATACTTTTTTACTTTTTTTGCTTGACGTTCAAAAGTGCCTACTGTAGTCTAATTGAAATAAATGATTTTGACTTTGACTTTAAGGATATCTTGATTTCTTAACAAACAATAATTATAAATTATATACAGGTGGCCAATGGTTGCCTTCCCAATGTGCAGCAAAATAAATTAAATAAACTTATTCTATCTACTACAATACAAATACCGGTATTTACAATCACCAGTATATTTATTATACACAAAAAGTAATTAATAACTTAATTCAGACCGGTCTGGTAATGAAATATATGAAGTAAGGACTTAGAGAGAGATCAAAGCGCCTTTCATATCGGAACGAGGTTCAGACGCGTAGCTGTATTCATACTTGGAGGTCCGCGCGGCAGGCGCGTTAGCCAAACGTCAATTTCCTTGTAATTGTCTTAGTTTACCGACGTACAGAGACATCTCTTAAACATGTTTTACAATGTCATAAATAAGAATTGTACATCAAATAAATGTTATAACGTAAGCTGATCCATAGAGAGTATGCTAGTATACTGCTGGTATTGCTTCAGTCCGTAGTTTTTCCTTCGGTACTTGTTGTACGTGTCGTTCCAGAGTCGGACGGAGGAGTGCTCCCACAGTGGCGCCGTGGACAGCTTGCTGTCAATGATCAGCGCCGTCGGGTTGTGTCGCCGCGACGGTTGCCAGCGGAACGGGGTCAACGGAGTGGGGTGCGGGGTGGGGTCACTGGAAGTAAACGAAGTATTTATGTTAGTCATGGGTGCGGTTACAAAAATACAATTTCACATACACATAACACTCAGACCCGGAACAACAAATTGTGGATCATACAAAGAGTTGTTCCGTGCGGGAACCGAACCCGCGACACGTTGCACGGCAGCCAGTTGCCCAGCCACCGCACCAACCGTGCAGTCAAGTACTAGAAGTTGTAGTTCAAATAAGTAACAGTCTAATTTGTCACAAATTTACTGATTCCAGTGTCATGGTGGCGTCCACGTGAACTATTTTTCCATCCAGCAAGCAACAACATTTTTATTAGAGGATCACATCAAAGACTTGAATCCACGAATCGTTGCTCGCTGGCAAGCAGACTCCAATTACAGTTTGTCAGTAATTACAACATAGTCCGCCATACTAGGAGTATTGCAGTGCAGTGCACAGCTGCATATAAATGCAATATTTAGTGAACACTTTATTATGATCGAGACGTGACACGCGTCGAGATGGACGCCAACAAGTCGAATACATCGCGCCATGTTGCGTCGACCTGTCCGCGGTCGGATCATACTGTGACACATCGCTTTATATTTCCCGCAGGAGTAGTTACAAGTGCACACGTTGGCTCTATTAAAACTATGTGTTTTGCTAAATGAGTACTGTGTTACTTGCCACTATATAATGACACGCGGGAGTTTACTGTAGTAAGGTCCTGGCCGCACAACGGTGAACTGCGACGGTTTTTAAAAGCGTGACAATTCATTGTGTTCGAGTCAGTCGCGGCACAAAACCGACTGTTTAGTCGCTTGTGTTCAGTTTTTTTATTCACAAAACCGCCGCGGCCCCGCCCTAGTACGGCCGAGGCTTTAATCAAACCCTCAAGTTAATTTGTGCGTTAATTACCAAACTCGTTATACCATATTATTTGTGTTAATTGTCTACTGGACAGTGTCACATAGCTCTCAAATAATTATATAACTAATCGTTTTGTATTTTTTTCTTTATAGGTTGATATGTTTTGTCATTATTTCATTACCTACTAAGTTTAAATGGGCATTTAATAATCTAATGGAATTTATATCAAGACTAAAAGCTAAAATAAATAACAAATTAAATGTGACAAGTGTTTACATTTTTCAAACATAATGGAAATAAGTGTGCCGTACTTTAGTACGGAATACTCACGTATACTTGGCGAAGTTAGTCCACATGGTGACCATCCTGGCGATCATGTGCTTCTCGACGGAGTGCAGCAGAGGGAAGGCGTGCGGCTTGAACAGGTAGAACAGCTCGTCGGCGTGCGACGCACCCTGCACCACGTTGTGGAAGCCCGATATTATCTTAGGCATGTTCCTCAGGCCGTCGTACCGGAACAAGTAGTAGTATATAGGCTGGTCCGACGTCCGGGTGTACATCTCCGACTCCAGCACCAGCGGGAATTTGAAGTGCACGTCCGAGTACAGGTCCACCATGTTGGTGATCAGGTTCGCCTCGTACGAGGAGAAGTAATGCCGCTTTATCACCTCCCCAGTGCAATTCTTCTCCAGCTCGCTCGGGAACTCCATGTCTGGCTGCAGTGTATTAAAGATTTCTATCGGTTCAGAATTGTTTTTGATGCTAGTGCCGTAGTCTGCTGCTACGAAATATATTCCTTCCATATCTGTGTAGCCTATTATCATTGGCACCTTAGTGTAGTTGCCCGAGCTCAAGATATCGGCTGGGTACTCTGTTACCACAGGGTCCACTCCCTCAATAGGCTTCTCAACGCACGGAACAAATAAATCTTTCTCAGCGACGCAGTATTTATCTTCAAACTGACTAATAGTTTCCAGAATTTCTTTGGCTGACTTATTAGATAATATTTTATGAATTTCTTTTGGATCTTTGGTGTCATAACCTAATTTTTTGACTAGAGCGCTGGCTGCCCCGATGGGGTCGTGCTGAAGAGCCCACGGGGCCAATGAAGAGCCACTTTGTAGTATAGCTTTATGAAATAGTCCCCTAGCTCCGGCAGATAACATCATGAATGACGTAGACACAGCACCGGCACTTTCTCCAAATATAGTCACGTCGTTAGGGTTGCCACCAAATGCCTCTATGTTCTGCTGAATCCATTTTAGAGCCGCAATTTGGTCCTTCAGTCCTGCATTTCCTGGTGCTTCTTTAATACCCAAGCAAAGGAACCCTTCTACAGCCAGCCTGTAATTAATGCCCACAAAGATAACATCGTTTTCAGCCAAGAAGTCTCCTCCATAAAGGAACGGGGATCCAGTGCCACTGAAGAAGCACCCTCCGTGGATGAAGACCATGACGGGCAGAGGCTTAGTGATCCGAGTGGGTGTGTAAACGTTGAGCTTCAAGCAGTTCGGTTTGCCGATGATGATGCCTGCTGAGTACTGCGGGCACCAGGTATTCTCGTCGACAGCGTCGAAGATCCCCGTCCACGTTGGAGGCGGCAGCGGCGCCTGGAAATATTGAAAAAGTATGTTAATTTTATCGTCGGAAAGTTTCAGACTATTGAAAATAATGTTCAGGAACTTTGCGAGGCTTTGATAAGTTAGAAGTTTGAGGCACAAGACGTTGATTTACTACTTTTACAATTTGTTCTGAACGAACTGGAAAATTAATACTTGTTATTGTTGCGACGTTTCGCGGCGTTGAGGTCACTATAGCTACGCAAACGACGATATTGTTGAATTATTCACTAGTAAATAAATAAATTACTAAATTAAACAAGTAATTTGGAAACGCTTCCAGTGCGTTTCACTTAACAATATTTGTCCGGATGTCTAGAATTAGTTAAAAGGGATGTACACAGTTGTTCAATGAACTATTATTCCGTTTTGATTAAACCTTGTGAAACAGGCCCAGTTGATTTGTAGCTCGTGTCCTCACACAAATATAGATTGTTATACAGATATATAGATATATAGACACCTTGTACAGATATATAGACTGTACAAGGTGATGTGGCTTATAGACTCATACCGTCAACAAAGGTATTCTAGCAAATAATATAGACGTAAGACACACGTGTCAGTTGTTCATCGTCAATGACATAAGTTTACGAAATTTCATTTTAATTGAACGGAAGGTCCGCCGTCGTAGGAGATGTGGAGGTCAGGTGTACGCAGTAGGTGAAGGTCATTGGATTCGGTTCGAGTGACCTTGGCTTTGATAGCGAACGTGATGTGACGCCGGTATTACGGTAAAGGTGATGCAGTATCGAGGCTACTTCGTAACGTTTACTAACACCAGTAATACTTTTTAAAACCTGAAGGACAATGGCCCTACTCAAGGTCTTACAATCATTACTTCAAGTAGAACCTGTTTACACTTTGTGGTTGGGTTGTTTATTTATATAAAATAAAAGCGATTTCTTCATTGCTTGACGTCAGTCGGTCGTATTCTGTATATTGTATCTTATTATAGGCCTCATTTGTAGTTCCACGAGTAGCGCTATTCGCAAATTTATTCATGTAGGCATTGTAGGCAATTAAAATACAAGCCGTTTTACTATTCAGTATTATTTGACCTTGAATATTTAACATGGATAGATCTCCATAATATTACGGAACTGTAAGGTTGAGGCCTTAGGTCTCTACTACAAGATATTTAATTATTTATCGTGCATAAATTAGGCAATATTACGATTGGCCTGTCTCTTTAAAATGTCGTGCTTCATTTGTAATAAATTAATTTTTAACAAAACATTGTTTGGTTATCAAAGGGCGGAAAAATCATGCTTTGGCACGAATGTGCTGGCTCGACCGGAGTTATGCCACGAGCTCACAGAAAACTGACGTAAAATAACTATTGCGTTGCATTTCGCCGCCTGAGGGAGGTTACTGGAGGTCCTGTCAACCTATAAATGGCTGGCAACCAACTTTTAATTCTCAACAGGTCAAATGTCAGTTTATATGTCGACTCATCCCACAAAAAATAAAGATATTACTCATAGTAATATCCTTTTTTAAATAATAGGTGATTATATAAAAATAACAAGACACACATAGATGGGTCAGCGTTTGGCTGAAAAGCGAAAGTACCCAGTAGAAGTATTTATAATAGTAAAGTAATCCTTTACTTATCTCGGACAAAACCAACTTCTCCTATATTGTTACAGATCACAGTTTACGTCCGTTATTTGGCACAGCTACTATATTATTGTAGATACGATAGATGGCGGTAGTATCTACGTGGTGTCAAGGTTTGGTGAGAAATGCAATCCTCTCGGCAGCCGCCTTGACCGAGCCGGCCGCTAGCTCGCCACTAGCTCACCCTGGCGGAGTAATTACCCACAGACAGTTCGGTATCATATTGTAACTCGCATGCTCTGTAATTGCATGTAATTGGATCTATACATGTTTTGATTATGAATAAAAAAATAGTTCTAATTTAATAATGTCATAAGATATAGGCGTATTTTTTAAATTAATGTTAAACTTTGAACTTAATAAAACCTAACAATATAACTCAGTATAACTTTAAAGGTGATTTACAGTGGTATATAGTGGTACAATAGTGACTGCAGTGAATCCGAACTCAGTTTCTCAGATATTAGATTTCTTGTTAGGAAATTCAGTATTGGACGACAATAGTGACCGATATTGGCAATAGGCTCGACTCGTCCCAACTCCGGCACAACGTGAATATTGAACTGTAGATAGAAGTCGAATGGATGCTCTTATATACGACGATAATATGAGAATTATCACCATCAACCACTGCTGTTCAAAAGCCGCTTCTCACACGGAGAAGGTTTGAGCGTGATTTCAAACTAATAATTAGAAATTATAGGACAGGGTTTCCTCTTTATGTTTTCCTTCACTATATATCAGTGGTGTCGGAATGATTTTAGGAAGTACATATAATGCAGAAGTCACATTGGTACTTGCCAGGTTTCGGAACCCACACTGTCAACAATAAAGCTCTCATGCATGAGAAGCGAACGGACTAGTCAGGTTTCGAGAAGCCAGCGCCCTCAACTCCAGGCTACCACCATATGTTATATTACAATAAGTATTGCGCACCCACAATAAGAAACTTTTTGGCAGGAAATTTACGCCTACAAAGTGTTGAGAGAACTTGTCAGTGCATTATATCCGCATGCACATGCAGGCGATGTTTGCACTTGACATTGAAACTATAAACACAATTTTCCTTTACAAGTACCTTTAGTATTAATTATCAATCGTTATTATTAAAGCCGGTTTAAGATGACTTTTGCGTCTAATTAATTCTTGCACGTGTAAGAAAAGAACCTATTACTAACTATAAGCAATAGCCATCTTTGGTTTATGCATATTCATTCTTCTCTTTCATTGGAGATTGCACCATGAACATACTTTTGGCTATCTCCCTTTCCTTACTTGGTAATATAGGAAAAGGCTTATTTCCTTCTAGAAGAAATATGTACAAGACACAAGATATATACTGAGCTTGTTATTCCGTCGAAATATTTGGTATGTAAACGTCAGCCGCCATTAACTTAACGCGACATTTTATAAGCAAATAAAAATAAATAACCAGTTAGTTCAGTAGGTACGTATAAATACCTCAGTTTACTAGAGTACAACAGAAATCAGTGTCGTATTTCTAGAAGGTTCCAGCCGTCAGTTGCAAGAACAACATCCCTAAGCCTTCAAAGTTGCGCCGTTTGTTTTTCTTTGATTCCTAAACAGCAGTAAAGCTGGGTATAGACGAGGCCAGAGGGCCGGAGGGCCGGAGGGTAACTCGGCTAATAACTAGTTGTTGGCAAGTTCCCGCAACTATGCCGGAGTTTCGATCTGTAACGATGTGAACTATGAACTACCTCGTAAGTACCTCGTGGAATATTGTTAGACTTTATTTATCGTTCAGGTCCGCTGGTGTAGCGAGTAGCGAGCTACCCGGCCGTGTGGTACTTGTGACAGCACTTGCTGCACTTATTTTAGTAATTATAAATTATAATTAACATGCAGGTAGTTAGCTCGTGTGCGCATTATATTGTAATTTTGACTTTGTAACAAACCTTCGGTAAAACTCGATTTTGAAGTTAACCAACATAATTATGTTTTTAATTTGGCTTCTGCGCCAATAAGTAATAATCATACCTGACACGGGAAAAACATTTCGATTTCTTGCCTCAAAGTGCGTCAGTGTTTTACCTTTACCTAACAAATAACGACCAAAGAAGAAACACAGCCAGCACTGAAATACTACGTTTATCGTTATAAAATCTCACCTGAAACCGATTACTGTCGTCGACGGTGGCGTACGGGATGCCGAAGTACTGGAAGAACTTGCCGTTCCGACTGACGGTGCCCCGCACGAGGCCGCTGCGCGTGCGCACTGGCTGCGTCGGCTGCTGCACCATGCGCGCCGCTATCAGCGACAGCAGCACTAACCACTTCATGGCACTGGAAATACGGTGAACACTCCTTATTAACAAAAAAACCTCTTTTTAATTGGAATTTTTCTGTATTTTTTTATACATATCGTACAATTTAATCATCGAAAACATAGGCAGGACCGCACAAATACAATGAAACAACAACTTTTTTTTATAAATGATGTCAAGAGTACCATATTATAGGGGTTTCCTTATTTCTACACTTATCACTTATATTCAAATAGTCCAAAGTTGCGAATAAAAACAACAAGTTCTATATATACCTATATATCTAGTAGTCATTTAGCCGCTGCGGTAACAGTTAACTTGAAGTGTTAGTATGATGATTTCTAAATGCCACGGACAGATTGAATTTTGCAATATTGGAGCGCGATGTATGAATTAATTTCTTTTCATCAACATTGAACTTTTGAACTACAATTATACTACCTATTAGATTTTTTTATGTGATAGGACGGCAGAAAAACAGACGGATTACCTGATGGTACAACAACGGAGCAGTTAGGACTACGTTCGTCTTTTGGGGATTAGAGATTTGCAGATTTTGGGATTGGAGAAGGATTAGGCCTCTGGTAACCTGACTCACACGGTGGAACCCAACGTTGTGGTTGATTCACGCCGGTTTTCTGTGAAGCCGTGGTATCACTCCGGTCGAGTCCACCCATTTGTGCCGTAGCACTGCCCTTTCACGCTTAGGCAGTTTTCGACAGTAACTTAATTCAAAATGTATTAACAATTTATTAGAAATACTGTGAGTGAGATCCATTGCTCCGTACTCCCAAAAAAACGAACAAATTAACAGTGCCAATGAAAAACTGTAGGCTGAATCTTCATAGTGGGCTTTAGCAATAAATATTTTAGTTTATTTTCGTACTCAAAACAGGAAATATAACTTCTTGTATTCTTTTTTTAGGTAAACCTGATCCAAGGCCTTAAATCGTGTATCGAAGTCGAGTTCATATAGTGTAATGTGCACTAAATGAAACGGGTTAGGTTATATTTTTTTGTAAATTTTTTATCTGAACCCTTCGCTGCAGGTAGAAGGAACCTTTTCTGTAATCATTTATTTTAGGTTCATTACCCTGTATGTACTTTGTTTGGACTTAGTTTTAAACTCATCTCAATCTGACTCTCGTCATACTTTTTATTTTATTATGATGGGATATGTATGTAAAATTGTGTGTTGCTAAAAACACTTACGACATAGGAGGTAATTCTAGTGCCTGTCAACGATTTTATTTTAACCGTGGTAATTCGAGGCACAATCGAAGAACAATAATAAAAATAACGCCAGCGTACGTAGGTAATTTTTCGTAACAGAGACAGTTGCGTAGTTTTCAGTTCCTTACTCAAAAGTCTACTTTATCGAAATTTTAATGTCACCATACCTTCATTTTTTTAACAACCAAAATTTTCAGAAATAATTCTTCTATATCTCGCATAAATATTAAGACGTCATAAGTAGGTACTTCATTAAAAAAATAATAGAAAATATAGCTTCATATATTTGGAAAAGATAATAATGGAATGATGGAATTGGATGGAAAAGATGATAAAATTGAATTTGAGTAAGTAGTTAGTTCGAAACACGACGACACAATTTCAGAGTGAGAATCTTGATTTGTTAATTCTCTGTTCAACCGGGTTTGCAAAATGTGACTTCTTTTATTAATATACCGGTAGTTTCCATTAGTAGCAACAAAACAAACGGGCCACCTGATGGCATGGTGGACATCGTAATCTACCATGAGTGAGCTACCAGAAACGAAGAAAACTGCTTGATTCCCAAAAATATTTGGGAGAACCATGTTTCGGCACGAATGGGTTGGCTCGACCGGAGTGATACAACAGCCTCACAGAAAGCCGCAATTAAACAACCACATCGTTGTGTTTCGCTGTGTGAGTGAGGTTACCGGAGGTCCAATCTTTCTTCTCCCCACTCCCAAAATCTCAAAATCCTAAACCTCAAAAGGTCGGCAATGCACACGTAAATCCTCCGACTTATTACATAAAAAAATGGTAATACTTGTATATTTAAGCAGTATGACGGTACCAATAAATGTCATATAGGGAAGTCTAGAAGGGGGGTATAGACTTTGCGAACTTTGAAAATGATCCTTATGAGGTCAACCTAATATTTGCATTTGAAACCACAGAATACAAATTACTTAGAAGGCGATGCGTCAGTACGTGTAGGGGCCGTTGTTAGACTAGATCAGCCATATTATACTGAACTAGCTTCTGTTGAGCGGTTTCACTCGCTGCTCGACTCCTACAAATCGTAGCGTGATGTTTTACAGCCTTAAGCCTTCCTCGATAAATAAACTAAGAAACACAAAAAGAATTATTCAATTCGAACCAGTACTTCTGGAGACCGGCGCTTACAAACAAACAAACAAACAAACTCTCCAGCTTTATAATATTAAAATATATCTATCTATAGTATATATTATTGTTTACATCGATTAACTCCCTGAGTTAAAAATAACACTAAATACATTATATTTCTTCCATTCGTAGCTGTGAAATAAATGATAAAGTTAAAAGTTTATAAATGACCCTGTTTTATAGATATCGCTTCAAGATAATGCGTTTAACTATTATACATTACTAGCGACTCGCCAGGCTTCACACGGGTGCAATACTGATACTAAATTTTTCACTATTTAATGGACATATACATATAATCCTTCCTCTCCAATCAGTAAACTGATCTATTTTTAAAAACCGCCTTAAAATCCGTTGCGTAGTTTTAAAGATTTAAGCACACATAGGGGTATAGGGTCAGAGGAAGCGACATTGTTTTATACTATGTAGTGATCAAAATAATTAATTTTTAATTATTTTAAATAACAATACAATTATTTAAAATAATTAAAAAACGCAAAAGAAAATATTTGATGTAATATAAATTAAGTAAACCTGATAATACTAAAATATGATAAGAAATAATTTGATGTGAATTCATGCAATAAAATGAAAATAAAAATAAAGTAAATCGTACCTACTATGTATCATTGTATAGAGCTATTTGTTTTCGACCACAATAAGTAATTAACATGAATTAATATGATAACTACATACATTTTATAGTCTAAATATATTATAAATAATGGTTTTGTTTGACATTGCAGTGAATTAAAATTTTAAATTTCTTAAAATCAAAAGAATTTTGCTTACAATTTTAATTTTAAATAATTTTTATTTAAAGTCGACTTTAAATTAAAAGCACATAAATATAGTTAAACCTGTAAAAAAATAACTTGATAATCAATTTAAATTCAGTTAAAAAACAATTTATTTACATAATTTTTCCTAGATTCCCTATAATAATTTATTTATATAAAAAAATAACGTTTGATGTTTGTTCATTAAAATATAACAAAAAAAAAACTCACCGAAATATATTTTATTTCACATAAACATTAATAAAATACTGTCCACAATTCACTGTTCGCATAAAGTTCGCGCGAGAGCTGCGCGTGCGCGCGTTGTGCTCGGCTATTATTGCGCTCCTTGTGTTGTGCGCTGGAGGTACTCACCGGTAATGACGTCATTACTCGACAAAATGTTAATATCTTTTACATTTGGCGGGAAATGGAGTTTGTGTGTTAGTTCTTAGGTAGGCGAAACACAATAATGCACACGAATTACGTATAACAGGTAATGTTTATTGGAAAGACACTTAGAAAAACACAATAGACTATACAGCAAATATAGGTTGGTACTGTTTATACAAGGTTTTGGCGGGAACGAGCGAGATCCGCGGAAGATAACTGTTCCGGGCGTTAGAAGAGGGCGCGCGACTCGACTCCTGAGTGGCGGGAGCGCGGTAACGCGGCGCGGGCACAGGGCGCATGCGCGGGCGTTGCGCGGGCGGTGCGCGGTCCTTACGTGGCCGACGCGGTACCTACTGCTTAACGGTCTACCGTTTCGCGCCACAATCCGCGCGCGATAGTCTCCCCCTCTAACCCAAACGAACGTCCTCGCGTTGGGGTTAGCAAAATCTACGAGGCCTCCCCCTCTTTCGTTTCTCCTGTACCGGGTCTTGGATGCGACCGACGAAGGGAGTCAACACAGAAGCATGATACTTACCTAGCACCGTACCATCGCTGAGGCGCTCGAGAGTGTATGTGGTGGGACTGACCTCTGGATCCTTCATTTGATTCTCGTCCACGTCCACAGACTGCGAGAGGGCACGTCGACCGCAGGGCAGCACAGGTCACGGTCGGCATCTTCGGCACATGCCGGGCGCGACAGAGTGTCGGCTATAACGATCGCCTTACCTGGAGTGTATTCTAACGGGCGCTCGTCGGTCCCCTCCCCCTGGAGGAGAACCGCCCCGAGAGCGTATTCCACTGCTGTCGGTCCTGAGGACGAAAGGCAACGTCGCATCAGCCTGACGCAGGATCGGCGCCAATACCAGCAGGTGCTTGATCTTCTCGAAAGCAGCTTGCTGGTCCGGGCCCCATTTCCATACACTTACCTTTTTCACCAGCGCTGTCAATGGTTTGGCGACCTCTGCGTAACCAGGGATAAAACGCCTGAACCAGCCGTTGCGCGGTGTAGGTATATTCGCGATTGCCGCGGTCTTGCCTGAATCTACGTGAATACCACCCATCGAACACGATTTCGCTTAGACGAGTCGTTCGAGTTAGAGGTGAGTTTGGGACTAGTGGTTGCGTTCGAACTCGTAGTAATACTCCGATCGGGAACAGTAGGTATGTTCGAATTGTTCGCGGGAACGTTTGAGTTTTTTAGCTCAGTTATCGAATCTTCTGTGAGTCTCGCTCGCTCTAACAGATGTTCAATGTCGGTGATGGTGTCTCGTGACACCCGTTTTCTTATACGCCGGTGTAATAAACCGTACACTATATGTCTACCATTATCTCGTTCGGCACAGAATAGGGTACCTAACTGTATAAGTATACATCGTACCTTTGACACAAAACTTCAGCACGTTCGCACTCACTATGTTCACACTGAAATACCTCGCGCAGTATCATATGCGCGGGCTTTCGCACGCCGTAGGTAGCGCGCAGGCGCGCTAGCGCGTCTGGCCCCCACCGAGCGTGTGGTCGAGAGCGGCGCCCCTCCGGGCGCGCGTCTCCTCGGCCGCGTCGTATGATGACGGCTGTGGCGGGCGCGCCGGTCCGGGGCCCACCGAGCGTGTGGTCGAGAGCGGCGCCCCCCTGGGCGCGCACCTCTTCGACTGCATCGCTCCCGCCAAATGTAAAAGTGGCCCCACGTTGGGCGCCACTTTTACATTTGGCGGGAAATGGAGTTTGTGTGTTAGTTCTTAGGTAGGCGAAACACAATAATGCACACGAATTACGTATAACAGGTAATGTTTATTGGAAAGACACTTAGAAAAACACAATAGACTATACAGCAAATATAGGTTGGTACTGTTTATACAAGGTTTTGGCGGGAACGAGCGAGATCCGCGGAAGATAACTGTTCCGGGCGTTAGAAGAGGGCGCGCGACTCGACTCCTGAGTGGCGGGAGCGCGGTAACGCGGCGCGGGCACAGGGCGCATGCGCGGGCGTTGCGCGGGCGGTGCGCGGTCCTTACGTGGCCGACGCGGTACCTACTGCTTAACGGTCTACCGTTTCGCGCCACAATCCGCGCGCGATATATCTTTATTACACGTAAATTTCCATCTATATATGTTATTGTGCATTATTTATGCGAATCTGGCAAGGGTTAGAAAGGGTTTTTCTAGGTAGATCATTTTATTTTTTTAAAAACATTGCCCCACATTAGGATTTTCTCCTGTGTCATGGGTGCGGTTACAAACATCATTGCACATACACATCATATCCAGACCCAGAACAACAATTTGTGGATCACACAAAGAGTTGTGCCGTGCGGGAATCGAACCCGCGACACGTTGCACGGCAACCAGTTGCCCAGCTACCGCACCAACCGTGCAGTCAGTCATTCTTCATTGGAACTTTTTCTTAATAAAAATGCTCTTACCAAAGGAGTAGGCAGTAGTGCACAAATTAAATGTCCCTATACTGCCATCCCTTCGATAATTTTTTTGATAATCTTTTCACAGACCGGACACTGTCCAGAGAATGCGCTGTCGCTGTATACTTTGGAATTAAATTTTTATTGCAATTTTCTTACGAACAATAAATAGTATTTTTATCTTTAATCTTTATTTGACATACAAAAGTGTCTTCAATGGTGTAATTGAAACTAATTATTTTGATTTTTGACTTTATCAAAACCATGTGACTTATTAACTTCTTAATAGAAAAGTCCGCCTTTTATGATCTCGTGAAGAAAAAATTTATAAAGTTATTGAAAATAACGACTTACTTATGTGAGAAAAGCTCTACTAGTTTCAAGACACATCGGGACTCTTATTCACGAACAGCGTGCGCGTCGCGGCGACGTCGCGCTGTTTGGCTGCGCGCTTTTCTCAGTTTATTAACGTGAGTAAGTCGTTATTTTCAATAACTTTATTATTTTTTTTCTTCACGAGATCATAAAAGGCGGACTTTTCTATTAAGAAATAATAAGTCACATTGTTTTGATAAAGTCAAAAATCAAAATAATTTGTTTCAATTACACCATTGCAGACACTTTTGTATGTCAAACAAAGATTAAAGATAAAAATACTTTTTATTGTTCGTAAGAAAATTGCAATAAAAATTTAATTCCAAAATATACAGCGACAGCGCATACTCTAGATAGTGTCCGGTCTCTGAAAAGGTCTCTGAAACCTAAGGACCTAGTCGACAGGAGTGATACAGTATCACTCTTGTTGACTAGGTCCTTAGGTTTTAATTTAATTTCAATTTTATTGTATTTTTTATTCTATTATATTCTTTATTGTATAATGTGCTGTCATGTTGCGCTATTTAGATTATATCAAATAAATAAATCCATACATAACAAAGCAGGGCTTAACCAACATCAAGTGTGATCTATATTGTGTCAACTTCAAAAAAATTACTCTTTGTCTATGGGTAACTGGGTATAAATGCACGAGGAGCTGTGCTGATTATCAATAGATCTAGTTGTGCAGACTGCTAGTTCTGCATTTGAATGACATGATGTGGAGAACGAAATAATCATTGGAACAACATAACGACCTATTATAAAGTAAATAATGACAGTAATGTAATGTCCATAGATTTGTCATAGAATTATGTAAAACTAAAGACTCCGACAATAAGTTGTTTTAAACGACGTCCTCAATAACATTTCTCAATACTTTTTTCAAATTCTCAATGACAAATGAAAAGTACTTATGTTTAAAAGTAATGTTTTGTCCATAATAATTCACGTCAGTATTCAAAATAACTATAACAAATGACTGCTAGGTACGTACATATTTATGTAGTACATCAATTTTACATGTACCTTAATACGCAAGTAAGTAGGAATAATTCCTGCCTACATATATTTTTATTTCATGTGTAGTACTTTTCAACTGACACTTGTGTCTTTAAGTTTATAATAATTTAGTTTCCATATTTATATCTATCTATAAAAATTATACCGGAGGCCCAATCTTTCCCCTTCCCCAATCCCTCCTCAATCCCTAAATCTCCAAATCCCTAATCCCTAAAAGGTCGGCAACGCACTCGTAACTCCTCCGTTGCGAGTGTCCATGGGCGGCGCTGATTGCTTACCATCAGGTAATCCGTCTGCTCGTTTGCCGAGCTATTACATAAAAAAAAAGTAAATTCATATAGCATTTAAAAATATAAAAATAGGAGCCAGCCGGCAGCGGGAGCAAGGTCCATGCTACCGGTGGTTAGGGCTCCAGAGACAGAAATCTCTTCACATTGCGTGCCGTTTCAAGGAGGAGGCCCTTGATCCAACCGCCTAACGTTAGCCTGTTAAGGTGGTTAACGAGGCTTTTGAGGACTAACCCAATTGCCGATTATAATAATATTTATTATAATCTGTATATATATATCTTATATGTTCATTGGCGAGAGTATATCTTCTGCTAAATTAGATACTACAATCCAGCTGCCTTATTTTACACACGCGGACGGTGCATTGTTGGACCGAGGTCCCGGCCCGGAGCAGGAGAAGGTACGGGATGTTTTTCAGTCTGTTCATTAGAGTCTTACACTCTCTCTCGCCCCATCCAGGGCGGGAGAAGTAATTTGATAATTTTGAACGTGTCGATGTGACTGGAGCAAAGAAAAAAATAGAAAACCAGTGTTAATTTAATTCTGAAAACATGGAAAACATAAAAAATAAAAACGTTTTTGAATAGTAAGGAGTAGCGTTTCGCACGCTGCTCACGAATTAGAGTCCCGGTGTGACTTGAAATGAGTAGACCTATTCTCAGTTAATTATACGAGAGTAAGCTGTTATTTAGAATTTTAAAAAAGTTGGAAAGGGATGTGCGAGAATCACTGCAAGAAAGGAGAGTTTGTGTACTGATAAAGACTCATCTGTGGGAATGGACAAAAATATAATATATGTCGTCTCGGCGCTGATCGCAAGTTAGTAAC